GGGGCGAGGCCAGGGGGGAACGTGCGGTGTGGGGGGCCGCACTGGCCCGGCCGGGTCCCTGCGGGGAGCATTTCCATCGGTCACTGGGTTTTCTCCTCTTCCGGTCCGGGCCGCAGGGAGGCCGACATGACGGCCCCAGGTCACAGCCTCCTCGCGCCGCTGTTGGAGACTTTGGAAGACCCCTCGGCCTCCCATGGAGAGCAGACCGACGCTTACCTGGCTCTGACCAGGTGAGGCTTGCTAGGAGGGTGGGGGAGGCGTCTGCTGGGTCTCGGGGAGAAAGGTGGTTGGGTGCGGCGCGCCAAGGGAGAGTGAATTCTGGAAGCCTGGTGGACGTGAGGACGCTGGGGTCGCGGACCATTTAGGGGGCGGGAGGGGTGCCGACTGAATGACGTTGGCGGGTGCTGCTGCAGCGCTCGAGCTGTTTGGGATCAGGGAGCTGAACTGTCTTGCAAGCGAGGGATTAACAAAAGTTTTGATAAGTGGTTGAAGTGGTTTTCAGTGTAAACTCCCGATGTACTGCGAAAATGTGGCAACCCATACATGATTTTTTAAGAGAACAATAACTTGGTTTTCATTTTAATGGCCAGAGGGATTCACCAAACCTTTCTAGTGTTTTATGAAGGTTTATGGAATGCTATAGTCATTTTGTATCCAGGAATGGTGATCTCTTTTCTGTCTTCATATAGTGAAACTGTCAAAACTTGAGTATGTTGGATGAAAAAACGTTATCCTTGGGGTTTTGGGCTCTTATTTTGATAAATAACATTATATATTTTACATATCTTTAAATATCTAATAGACCGAGTAAACTCATTCATAAGAGTTTGAAAGTAATCTTTAAACAGATCATACGATACTTTTTTTGTTTCTGTCATGCATTGATTTCTGTCCTTTCTGCCTTTTTTAAGTCGAATGACTGGAGAAGAAGGAAAAGAAGTCGTTCTAGAAGTTGAGAAAAAACTTCCTAGTCTGTACGAAGCTTTAAAGGTATGTTTCTGTTTATTAAATAGTATTTTACATTGGGTGGTTTCAAAAAGTTTTACCAGCTAACTTATAAAAACTGATTAATGGGCCTAGCTACAGTGGCACAGATAGAGCTCTTGCATTATGCTGTGGCCAAATGGGAGGCTTGCTTGGGATATCACCCAAATGTACATACCTCAGTGATATTGGGAGGCTCGGGTAAGGATTCAGAATGTCTTGTCTTTTTCATGAAAGAAAAACAAAAACTTTGAATAACAATATTGATTGGATTGTTATAGTACTATCTGATTACTTATAATGTGTTAGGGACTCCCTTAATTAGTTTATGTGCTTTCTCTCACCTAATTTTCCTAGCTCCATGAGGTTCTCTTTAATCCATACTTTGCAGATGAAGAAATTAGTTTAATTTGCCCAAAGTTGCCCGAGGTCATTTGAATCCAGAGTCTGTGCTCTTGAAAGCAGTGATCAGAGATTATTTCATCTGTTTTCTTTCCTTTTGGGAATGTACTCCTAAGTGAGTGATTCTAAAATTATAATAGTCCTAGGTTTACTCTAGGGATAGTTAGTCCTCAGCTTTCTTTTTATCTTTACCCACTGTCAGGTTTTGCCACCCATGCCTGATTGGAAACCGTTATTATGGTTATCTTTTCTTATTTGTTTTTAGGAAGGTGGTGTAGTTTAATGTCAAACTAAGGCCCTCTTCTCTTGTCCTCACCTCTCAGTGGCAGTGTGAGCCACCTTTCTTTTTAGATTTGCCAGAGGGCACCTGTACTTCCAAAAGTACCTCCCTTGGGGGATAGTCATACCATAATCCTTTCTCCATTTCCCTCTCATTTCAGGATTTTGGGCACTTGGACCTGATATATTTTTCAAGCCTCTGTGTTTGTGACTCGAACTGTGCAGCTGGCCATGTAGAATCCCCCCATTTTAACGCTCATGCCTTCGGCTGGCTCCATTGTGACCTTTTTTTTAACATCTTTTAAATTTCCTTGTTTCTAGAATAAAAAGGTCAGATATTTTTCTTATTTTTATGACCTTATTTTTGTATTTTTAGGACATGTATTCTGTCAGAACACTGATTAAAACATACATTTTAGCAATTTTTCTGACTGTTAACCATTTGTGGTACTAGGTATTGCTATTACAATAATCATCATTTTTCATTTATGTAAGCTAAAACTAGGGACCAGCAGTTGGCATAATGGTTATGTTGCTGGACTCCCATGTAGTCGACTGCAGTTCGAATCCCGGACCCGGTGGCTTAAATTCATGCTGGGCACACCGGGCACTTATGCGTGTGTGCCCAAGATCTTAAGGGGAGGAGGGGTTGGTGGGGCCATCCCCTCCCCCCCCAGGGGGGTTTGATTGCTGATTATCTGTCTGTCTGACTTTCTGGCAAGTACACATGCCCTACAGCAAAAAACTTAAAAAACAAAAAACAACTATATCACATGGTCATTACTTTTCCTTTTTTTTTTAAAAAATATTTTGTCAGAGCGGTTTCACTTGCTTAGAAAGACAGGAGTGAGAAAGCATTCCCAATGGGGCATGATCACACCAGAATTTCTTTTCTATCCTTCCCTCCTGTAGAGATTTTGGGGGCTAGGTGTGTCTTTTGAGTTACTCATCCAGGACACAACTGCCGTGTGTGTGTGTGTGTGTGTGTGTGTGTGTGTGTGCCGGCTGCCATTAATAGTGATGTATTAGTGGGACCAGCAGTTGGCGTAATGGCTACGGCGTTGGACTGCCACATAGTTGACTGTGGTTCACATCCTGGACCTGGTGGCTTAAAACTCATGCCGGGCGCATGTGCGTGCGTGCCCAAGATCCCGAGAGGAGAATGGAGGAGAAGGGATTGCGGCGTGGCCAACCCCCCTGGGGGGTGATTTCTCGCTTTCTGTCTTTGTCTCTCTCTGTCCGTCTGGCGAGCGCATGCGCCCTATAGCGAAAACCTCTCAAAAAAAAAAATAGTGATGTAATAGTAACGTAATAGTATTAATGATATGATTATTTTTATTTTCATTGTTAAAGTATTCTGGCATCACAGTATATTTGTGATGACCTGTACCTTTTTTTTTTTTAATAAAGTTTATGTTACTTTATAGTAGAATAAGAGATAGACAGGCACCTCACAATAGAGTCTTAAGGCCACTACCCACTTCCAGTCTCAGCTGACTGTTATCATGGGTATGTGCAACATACCTTACATATTCAGGGAGGCCCTAGGATGTGAATTCAGGATCTTTCCCATGTGGGTCCAGTTGCATCATCACGATGCCCGATGCCGTCACCTGGCTCCATATGCATCTTTATATACTTAGTATTGGAGCCGCGTGGGATCAGGAACTCAGAGCATGCATTTTAAATCAAGTTTAACTTAGTAAATGTGATTTGTAACAATTCCTGATAAACTATTATTTGGAAGCCCTGGAAAGTCTGATGGGACAGTCAACAGCTTTCCATGCAAATTAAGCAATGAAATGCTAATTGAATTTCTTCAGCATAGGAATCACATTAGGTAAAATAGAAAATGTTTTTGTGTTGCTGCTTATTAGAATTCTGTTGAAGATGACATACCACTATTAAGGAACACTTTAGGTAAATATTTTAATAAAAGTTGACCACAGGTACATGCTTGCTGTTATCCAGGAGTTACAGTAGTTCTCAAAATCTAGTACCTAGTGATTGTTTAAACTATTTGATCGTTGGGAAAGTCATGACATATATTTCTGTTTTTCTATGCAAAAATGCATCACAACTTTTACCAATGACCCAATAGTTGCTGTGACATCTCTTATACCCTAGGGTTTTTTGTTTTTTTGCTTTGTTTTGTTTTGTTTTTGGTTGTTTGGTTAATTATAAAAGGGATGCTACAAGGAAATGTCTTTATATATTTGACCACTAACATTTGCTGTTCTTGCTCAAGCATAATAATTAGTTGAGGATTTCTTGGATCTCTGATTCAGAGAGAGATTGAGGGCTTTGAGGCTAAATTATAGTAGGAAGTGGCAGGAAGAAAGAGGGGTGTGTGAGATTACAAGTAACTAGGGATATATTGAGACTCTGTTTGGCAGATTTGGGCTTTTATAGTATTTACACATGTAAGTAGAGTTGAGCTTTGAATTCTAGGTTGACATAGATTAAAAATTTTCTTATATATAAAGTAAGGAATTTTTCTATAGTTACAGATGTCCTTTTTGTTGTCAAACAGAAGGTACCAAATATGGTACAATAAATCATCATGAAAAACAGATGTGTGAATGTTTCAACTAATCTGTTTGGCTTCTGTGAAAAAAAAATATATAGGTGGAAACAGGTGCAAGGCAGAGGCAGAGTAATGTGCCATAAGGCTGAAGCAGCTGATGGGAGCATTGTAGAATGGGCACCTACACGTGCTGGTGTTATGAAAATTGCATTAATGAGATAGAATACTGCTCTTGGATTATGATTCTTTGAGGGATAGGATAGTGGCAGGAACTATGAGTGTAATTCATAATTTGGAAAGACTAAAAACTACTCTCGTGTAAATGAGCTTTAAGATGTTAAATCTGTACACTGATAACTAGCCTCAGGCCCAATATTCTTATTTCATGTGTAAGATCTGAGCAAATAAGATTAAGTAAAATGAATTAATTGTATATATTAGGTCATCAGGAAAATCATGATGTATTTTTCTGTTTTTCTATACAAAAACATGCCATGACTTTTCTGATGACCCAATATAATTGACCTTCTTGTGGTACTTTTAGTTTATAGAAAGTATACTCTAAAGTGAATTATCAGAAGATCTGAACCTTCTACTGATTGAACAGTTGGGCATAAAATCGACTTCTTATAGTATATGATCTTCATTCTGCATCCCAGTCTAGCAATTGAGCGATGTGAAGAGAAGTACAGACTGAACCGCAATGCTTCATTAGGTTTTTTGCTCCAGGAGAGACAGACAGAAAGTGAGATATACTCCCCAGGGGGAATGGCTATGCTGCAATCCCTTCCCCTCCATTCTCTTCTCCGGATTTTGGGTGCACACACACCTGGCGTGTTTCAAGCCTTTGGGTCTGGGACTTGAACTGTGGTCAGCCATGTGGGAGTCCAGCAACGTAACCATTATCCTTTCCGCTGGTCCCAGCTTCATTAGGTTTTAACTGGCCGTGTCTCAGAAATTTCTTAATAGATGATAAAACAAAGTCCGACTTCCCCTGTGAGTGGGGACTGAAGTTCACATTGTTGGGGAAGAACATTAGTGCTACCTCTGCTACTAATGAGGTGTTTGGAGGAGTCGTCAGCCATATGAAAAGGGGTATATGTGAATTTTGTTTAAATTATATATTTTTTAAAAATTACTTTTATTTTGATGGGAGAAAGAAAATGAGAAAGCAAGCTGTCAGGTCCCAGATTTGAACCGTGGTTGGCTATGTGGGATTCCAGTACCTAAACCACACCACCTGCCAGCCCCTAAATTCTGTGATTTTTAAAAATAATTATTTAATTAAATTAATTTATTATTTTTTTTTAATTGGCCAGAAAGGGACAGAGAGAGAGAGTGTGAGAAAACAAACTACCAGGTCTGGGACTTGGGCCATGGTCGGGCATGTGGGAGTCCAGCACCCTAACCACCACGCCACCTGGTAGCCTAGCTCTTCTGTATATCGAAATGAAAGTCATCTGTCTTGACAATGCTTAAATGACCTAGACTGTCTTAGAGTGATATTTGTAAGTACTCAGAATTCCTAAGATACCATCCATGGGGAGCAAGTTTCCTGACATGTAGTTAGTTTTCTTGTTTAAAAGGTTTTTTTTTGTTGGGTTGTTTTTTGGTTTTTTTTTTTTTGAGATTTTTTTTTTGCTATAAGGCATGTATTCTTGCCAGAGACAAAAAGACAGAAAGTAAGAGATTACCCCCTTGGGGGATGGCCATGCCACAGTCTCTTCTACATTATCCTCCCTGGATCTTGGGCATGCATGCACATACACCTGGAGGGAGTTTCAAGCCACCAGTTCTGGGACTCGAACTGGTCAGTAATATGGGAGTCCAGTGACATAACTGCAATTCCATCTACTGGCCCCTACACAAGCTTTTTTTTTTTTTTTAATTCATTGGAAAGGTAATAACATGTCCAATTTGTTATATAAAATGACATTCTGTGTATAAATTGTCCCTAAAAAAATCCTGTTTAGATAAAAAAAATCTGTAGGTGAGAAACATTTCTAAATGTTTTTTTTTTTTTTGGAGAGGTTTTTGCTATAGGGCGCGTGTGCTCGCCAGCCAGACAGAGACATAGAGACAGAAAGTGAGAAATCACCCCCCAGGGGGGATGGTCACGCCACAATCCCTTCTCCATTCTCCTCTTGGGATCTTGGGCATGCACGCACATGCGCCCGGCATGAGTTTTAAGTCACCAGGTCCAGGACGTGAACTGCGGTTGACAACGTGGGCGTCCAGCGACATAGCCATTACACTAACGGCTGGTTCCCTATTTCTAAATATTTTAATATATTCTGTTATAAGAGTTTATTCCCAGTATTGCGTTTATTCCTGGTATTGCGATACACTCTGAATTCTTTACATTATGACAAAAAAGTCAACTTTATTTTGAATGGCTGAACCTGAGGCAACTTTAGTTTCTCTTGCTCTGCTTTTTTCTTATGGTTAAAGTAGCTGTGGCTTAAGTTCAATAAAAAGAATCCCATATGCAAAAGCAAATTCTTCCTTTAAGATTGAGATGAACAGAGCTCCTAGCACATACTAGCACATCCCTTCCCTCTCCCAGTCTTAGAATAGGTATCACTCCACTTTGGAGAAGTTTTTTTTGTTTTTTTTTTGTTTTGTTTTGTTTTTTGGTTTTTTTTTTTTGCTATAGGGCGCATGTATTCACCAGACAGACAGAGAGAGACATTGAGACAGAAAACGAGAAATCACCCCCCAGGGGGGATGGTCATGCCTCTCCATTCTCCTCTCGGGATCTTGGGCACGCACGCACACGCACACGCACCCAGCGTGAGTTTTAAGCCACCGGGTCTGGGACGCGAACCGCGGTCGACTACGTGGGAGTCCAGCGACATAGCCATTACGCTAACTGCTGGTTTCCTCCACTTTGAAATTAGGGTGTCAACTTTTGTGTTTGCATATATTGTTTACTCTTCCTATTTATTTTCCTATCTAGTGTTTATAGTAGTGTATCTTTAGCATTGCTTTTTGGTGTGTAGAAATGTCTTTATCTTTTATAAAAAACATTCTCATTCAGTTGGTCTCTCAAGTTACCTCTTTCATTTTTTGGTCAGGATGTATATATAGCTTCATAATCTTATTTTTTTAAACCTACGTACAAAGATTTATTAATTGGATTCAATTATTATAAATTGGCTTGCTTTATAATTTTGCTTTCTAAAAAGTGATTTACAATTGTACTTGTCTGTAATAAATGTGATTTTGTTTTTGTAGACTCATATTTCCAGTCAAAACTTGGAGCTCAGTAGTGCTGCTCTACAGGCTTTGGGATTTTGCTTATATAATCCCAAAATTGCCTCTGGGTTATCAGGTAAGTTTATTATAACTTAAAAACTTTAGAGTTTGTAACTATTAATAGTCTCCTGTTAATATTTAGAAATAATGTAAATATCATGAGAGCTATGTCTACGACCTACACTTTTTTTGGGGGGGGGGAGGTTTTCGCTATAGGGCACGTGCGCTCGCCAGACAGACAGAGACAGAGAAATCATCCCCCGGGGGGATGGTCACGCCGCAATCCCTTCTCCTTCATCCTCCTCTTGGGATCTTGGACCCACGCCCCCCGGCGTGAGTTTTAAGCCACCGGATCCGGGACGCAAACTGCGGTCGACTACGTGGGAGTCCAGCGACATAGCCATTATGCTAACTGCTGGTTCCCAACCTAGACATATTTCTAACTTTGATACTGTAGTATTTTGTCTAAAGAAGGCTGTTTAAATATGATTGCTATAAAAATGGAACTTTTTAGTAAAAATCTGCTTTGGGAGTTCATGGTAATTTAGATTGTAATTTATTTTATTCATATATATGCACTTTAGGAGCATGCAGAATTGGAAAGTTTTTAAATGTGGGATAATTTTGAACTGAAAATGATAAAGAAAGTGTAGAACTTACTGCTTTCCAATCCTAGGTAGTTGCTGCATAGTTCATGGTTTGTCATTGTAAAGGGAACCTGGAAAGTGCTCTTTGAGAGAAGTCAGAAATAGGTAATCAGGATGTCAGAAAGTTGTTAATTGTTCCCCCCACCCCTCAGGGAATAGTTTAGTTGCTACTTGTTCTTTTTTATATATATTAATGAACATGTTAGAAGAACCAGCCAGAAAAAGAAATAAAAAATAAAAGGGACTAGCAGTTAGCGTAATGGCTATGTCGCTGGACTCCCGTGTAGTTGACCGCAGTTCAAGTCCTAGACCCGGTGGCTTAAACTCACGTTGGGAGTGTGTGTATGCTTGTCCAAGATCCCGAGAGGAGAAGGGATTGCGGCGTGGTCATCCCCCCTAGGGGGTGATTTCTCACTTTCTGTTTCTCCGTCTCTCTGTCTTTTTGGCAAGCACACGCACCCTATAGCAAAAACCTCTCCAAAAAAAAAAGAAGAGCCAGCCAGTTTGTGTGGATCCCACATGCTCGACTCTGCAGTTCTAGTCCATACCAACTGGCTTGGAAAAAAAAATACTGGGCATATGTGTGCTCAAAAAATCCTAAGAGGAGAGTGGAGGTAAAGGGATTATGGTGTCCTTAAAGAGGTTTTTGCTATAGGGCGTGTGCCCTTTTCAGAGAAACAGAGACAGAAAACGAGAAATCAACCCAAGGCGGGGGATGGCCACACCATAATCCCTTCTCCAGTGCCCTCTCAGGATTTTGGGCATGCACGGACACACACCTGGCATAAGTTCGAAGCTACAAGGTCAGGGATTCAAACTGGTCAACTATGTGGGAGTCCAGTGACGTAACCATTACACCATCTGTTGGTCCTCTCCCACCCCCTATTTTTTTAAAGACAGATTTTTTGCTATAGAACACATGTGATTGCCACAAAGTCAGAAACCGCCCTCCAGGGAAATGGCCACGTTGCAGTTCCTTCTCCATTTTCTTCTCAGTTTTGGGCACATATGCATGCACATGTGCCTGGCATGAGTTTCAACCCATTGGGTCCAAGACTTAAACCACTGTCGACCATGTAGGAGTCCAGTGTCTTAACCACTGTGCCACCTGCTGGGCCTTTGGTAATCCTCTTTACTGGGTGCTTTCTCATTTCACTCTCCCATCTGCCTCTCAGGTGAGCATACATGTCTATAACAAAACAAAACAAATGAATAAAAATGTTAGCAGCTTAAAGTAGTAGTTCATTTTGGAGCAGAGTTGAAGGATTTATGATAGCTTGCCAAATACTGTTGTATATTCAAACTGGCTAATGATGCCTATAGTTATTTCATTAGCACAAAATATCTGACTAGAGTCTATATTCTCTGAATATGCCTTTCCCTCTGATCTCAATTTTGTGTTTCATGAAGAAGTATGATTATCAGTAGTGATTTCCTGACCTTTCTCTGGGTATTCATTTAACTTAATAAGTACATTATTCTAGTTTTACTTTTTTTTTTTTTTTTTGTATTTGCTAGAGGGCACATGCACTCATGGATTTCAGGGGAAGATTAAGTTCAGAAATTGAAAAAGCACTTCCCATGGTGGGGGGGACGGTCACACCTCAGTCTTCTGTGCATTTCTCCTTCTTTCCTGATTTTGAGCATCCACATGCACAGGCCCCACGTGTTTTTCTAGTTAGTGGGTGGAACCATGTAGTCAGCTAACATAATACCACTGGCTATGATTTTATATCTGTAATTTTATATTTGAGACATTAAAGGATATAAACTGTCTTGCTTAATTCCAATAAAATATCCTTGTCAGCTTCCCTGCGATGGTGCATGTGGTGTGGGGGGCATCACTGTGATACTAGGGCCACATAAGAGGCCCAGGTTTGGATCCCACGTCAACCCAAACATCCCCGTAATCTTGGCTGGCTGGGAGGCTGGGGCAAGATTGCGGAATGACAAGACCCTGTCAGAGGTGTTTCTTTCTTTTGAAATAAATAAATTAGAAAAGAAAAACTGCTGTTTTTCAGAGGCAAATATTCAGGAACTGCTTTCAAAATTGAATGATATTGTTAAGAGTTCGGATAAAAATGTACGTACCAGGGCACTTTGGGTGATATCCAAGCAGACATTTCCCAGTGAAGTTGTTGGCAAACTGGTGAGTATAGTTTTTGGATATATCTTTTTAATTACATGCCAATAAAAAAGTTCAGGCTTATTTGACTTGCATTTATTCGGTTTTGTCTTTTAGGTATCCAGTATAATTGACTCATTAGAAGTAGTGTTTAATAGAGAAGAGATACATTCTGCCATTGTTGATTTTGAAGCCTTAAATGTTATCATAAGGTAGGCATTTGAATGCCATACACATTGGAAGAATAATTTCCGGTAACTTTACAACAATTGGACTTTTGCGATTTAAATGTGATAGACATTAAGTGAAGGGACTGTCTTTAGAACAACAGATAAAAGGATTAGATGTGCATAAGTTACTAGACTTGTTTGTTTTTTTTACTGAGATAGTCTACTGATAATACATTCTTGGTTGTTTCTGGGTTTTTTTTGTTGTTGTTGTTTTCGTGTGTGTGTGTCAGAGAGCATGTCTTGCCAGAGAGACAGAGATTGAGAGCAGTCCCTCACAGAGAATGGTTATGCAGCAGTGATTTCTCTATTTCTCCATCCTGTTGGGATTTGGGTCACACACACACATGCCTGGCATTTCTTCAAGCTGTTGCGTCCATGACTTGAACCACGTGGTTGGAGGTGTCAGATCTGGTTTCTTTAAGCACCAGGCCATAGCCTGGCCCCACATCTGGTTTAAAAATTCTCTCTGTTGGGACCAGCAGATGGTGTAATGATTAAATGTCATTGAACTCCCACATGGTTGAATGTGGTTCAAGTCCTAGACTCAGTGACTTAAAACTCATGCTGGGCACTTCAACACGCGCATCCCAAATCCCGAGGGGAGAATGGAGAAGGGATTGTGGCGTGGCCATAGCCCCTTGGGTGTGATTTCTGGCTTTCTGTCTCTGTCTATCTGGTGAGTGTATGCACCCTACAGCAAAAATCTCACCCCTCCAAAAAATTATTTCTGTTGTGGCTGGCAGGTGGCATGATGGTTAAGGCAGTGGACACCCATATGAATGATCATGGTTTGACTTCCAGATCTGGCAGCTGCTTTCTTCCTTTCTCCTTTCCTCTCCCCGATCAAATTGAACATAATGATGTATACAATTAAATGAAAGAATTTTAAAAATTGTCTCTGTTAAAGTTGGGGGTTTAAAAAATAATGTTAATTCATAAGTGGGCATTAGGTGCTGTTTAGGAAGGAGTCACAGTGCCAGATAGGGAACAGAAAATTCCTTTCCAACTATCTGTTTTAATAAACATGCCAACGACACAGATGTGATTCTATTTTTTATTTTTCATTTTTAAAAGTGTTCTTTAGTTGTCAAACTATTTGCTTTACTGCTTAATGTTCTGATGCTCTGAATATTAAATTATAACATGGTTCTCTGGCTATTTTCTCATGTAAGAATGTTTAATGTAATGATAATAAGGGACCAGAAGGTGACGTGATGGTTAAGGGCACTGGACTCCCACATGGCTGACTGCAGTTTGAGTTCCAGACTTGGTGGCTCAATTTCTCATTTTCTTACTCTCTCTCTGCCCGTCTCTGGTCAAATTAAAAATACATAAATAAAAGTTAAATAATTATTTTAAAAATATAATGATAATTAGTATTTTATGATTTTTATTCTGAAGATGTACTGTTTTCTTATTTGAAAAATTTATGAAAACTATAAAAAATGGGTCTGGCCCCAAAGCAAAATGGTTAGGCACTGTTTTGCTGACTGCAGTATGAATCCTACCCCTGGCAGAGTGAAGAACACTCTTGGTGCATAGGCTTTCAAGCCCAAAATCCTCATGGGAAGAAAAAAGTAGAGAAAAATTACCATAATGTGACCATGCTCTACTTAGGGAGTGCTTTCTCTCCCCGATAATCACATGTGCCTTAGGGCAATTAAAAAAGAAGCTGCAGAAATGTACACATTAGCAAGTGAAAACTGAATCCATTTCTTTGGTGTTTGTGTACACATAAACAAGGGGTCTTAAAAAAATCAGTGGAGGCCAGCAGGTGGCGTGGTAGCTAAGGCACTGGAGCCCATAAGGTCAACTCTTGTGGGAGGACCCCTGGAACCTGCTGTTTAAAAAACTTGCCAGGCTCCTCCCTGCTCCCTGCAGTGCTTTCTTGCTTTCTCCGGCAAGCACACACGCCCTATGGCAAAAAGCCCTATAACATTGCCTAAAATCCTGAGAGGAGAAGGGATTTGGTGTGGCCATTCCCTTGCCCCACCCCCGAAGAGATCTTTTACTTTCCCTCTTTCTCTAGCAAGTACGCGCGCCCTATGGCAAAAGTCTTAAAAAAAATTATTGGGTCTAGTAGGTGGCAGGGCGATTAAGTCGTTGGACTCCCATGTGGCCAACCACTGTTTGAGTCCTGGACCTGGTAACTTAAAAAAAACCCATACCATGTGCATGTGCCCAGAATCCCAGAAGAGAATGAAGGAGAGGGTTTGCAGCATGTCCATCCCTCGGGAGTGATTTCTGACTTCTCACTGTCTCTCTACCCAGCTAGTGCCCATGCTCCATAGAGAAAAATCTTTAAAAAAAAAGAACTTAGAAAATGCCTATTAAGAGAAACCGATACATAGGTTTTGGTTTGTTTTGGTACCAAAATAAACTTATTCTGTTTTCCACAAACTTTATGTCTTCATATGCATATATACTACAACAAATGTCCTATACTGAGAATATTTTTGTATGTTGTTGGCTTGTTTTCCTAGTAGCTTAGACTTAAAATGTAAGGTCAAGCTAATTTTTTCATTGGTTTCTGTATTACAGGCTAATCGAACAAGCCCCCATTCAAATGGGAGAAGAGTCAGTGAGGTGGGCAAAACTGGTCATACCGTTAGTGGTTCATTCAGCACCAAAGGTACATTTGCGGGGAGCGACTGCCCTGGAGATGGGCATGCCATTGTTGCTTCAGAGACAACAAGAAATAGCATCTATTACAGAGCAGCTTATGACCACTGTAGGTATTACTCTGTGTAAGGGTGTTCTAGATAATGCATCGGAAAATCTTGCACTAAACTCTAAGTCTTAGCCTACTGGTATAATTATACTATGATCTAGGAATTTAGCTTTGAATTACAACAAAGAGAAACATAAGTAATTTATACACATGTTGCTACTATGCAATAGAAAGGCAGCTATTTATTGTTACGTAGTACAGTGTGGGCATTTTACCTGATGCCCTGTGAATGGTGAATAGAAAGGAATTACATTTCTCAAAAAGGGAGAACATTAATTAACTTGTTCAGTGTTATTTGGGTTTTTTTTGTATAGTCCTAATAGATATAAATTTAATACACATAGCTGAAGAAGTACATGTAAGTTCCTAGTTATTCTTTATCTTGGATTTTAGGTTTTCCAATCTTTGGTTTTTCTTTTTCTTTTACTTTTTTTTAACCTTATTTCATGAGACGGAGAAAGGGGTGGAAAGAAAGATAAGTACTTTCCACAGGGTCTGATGTTGCAATCTTCCCAGCGAGACAGGATCATGTATGCCTGGCATGTGCAAGGTTGACTAGGAAACTGAACTCACAATCTATCATATGGATCCAGCTTCTCCTGAAGTGTGTTACTCCTGTGCCCCTGAGCCACCCTCAGTCTTTGTTCTTGTAACATAGTGTTATGTGAAGTGCATTGTTCTGGGCACTGTGAATATATTAATAAACAAAAAGGCTTTTAGGCAGTTCATTTATCTGTGAGAGAATTAAAAACATACAGTCTTCAAAGCGAAGAGTGCTGTGGAAAACAGGCAGTACTGGATAGAGTGCTCCATCAGAGAGGAGTCGGTGAGATAGTAAGAAAAGATAAGGAAAGGACATTCGAATAGTGATTTGAAGGTGGTACAGGAGTTAGCCATTCTGATAATATGGGGTAAGCTCATTCCAGGCATGAAAACAAAAGTACAAAAGTCCTGATCTTACAGTTGTGTAGCCTGTTCATGTTCAGGGAACACTGGACAAGGTGACAGCAGATGAGTGAATGGGAGTGAGAGTAGAGGTGATATCACAGTTTGAAACAATGGTCAGTCATGACCTCCTTGGCCATTTCAGGATTTGGTTTTTACTCTGGATTACATGTTACATTATGTTTAAAGATATTAAAGCTGTGACTTGTGCTTTAAAGACATCACTCTGGTTGTATTTGGACTAGACTTCAGGGAGGCAGCTGAGTAGGAGCAGGGAGATTAGTTAGGAGATACCATAATAACTGGATAGTGAGGGAGGTGTTCAGATTCTAAACGTGGGTTTTTCTGTTCTTTATAATTCAAGAAATCTCTTAGGGTATAGTAAAATAACTATAATGTCTGTGAAATCTCTTATTCTGCTATATGTGAGTGTTTTTTACTTTTTAAGAGATTTTTGCTATAGGGAGTGTGAGACAAAAAGAGACAGAGCGAGAACCTGAGAAACCACCTTCCAAAGGGGATAGCTATGCCACAATCCCTTCTCCATTCTTCCTTCAGGGTTTTGGGTGCATGCACACGCGTGCCCAGCCTGAGTTTCACCTTGCTGGGTCTGGGACTCAAACCGTGTTTGACCATATGGGAGTCCAGCGCCTTAACCACTACACCCCTTGCTAGCCCGTCATGGCAAAATTCTCTATAAATTTGAACTAAAGTGTTTTCAGATACCCATTGTACAGGAAGCTATTAATGAATGCATTCTTTAGTTTTCCAGTATGGAATTATTCAATTTATTAGCATTTGAACTGTAGTTAATAGAAAGCATGCCGGGGACCAGCAGATGGTATAGTGGTTATGTCGCAGGTTCAAGTCCTGGACTGGGGGCTAGAAACATATATCAGGCACATGTACATGTGTGCCCAAGATCCCTAGAGGATAATGGAGAAGGGATTGAGGTGTGGCCATCCACCCTGGGGGATGATGTCTCACTTTCCCTCTTACCGTGTCTATCTCTCTCTCGTCTCTTTCTCTCTTTGGTGAGCGTATGGGTCCTAAGCCAAAAATCTTGAAAAAATAAGCATGTTGAAGCTTTTTTTTTTTAACTTTATTATTATTATTATTTATTTTTCAGTTTGATCGGACAGAGTGAGAGAGAGAGGGAAAGTGAGAAAGCAAGCCACCAGGTCTAAGACTTGAACCGCGGTTGGCCATGTGGTAGTCCAGCGCCTTAACCACCATGCCACTTGCTGACCGCAACATGTTGATGTTTTTTAGAGGAATATGTGGGTAGAATAAAAGTAAGCCAGATTGACGGATGGTAGGGTAGCCAGATATTTGCTAAGATAAGCATGGTTAAAATGTTGATGTGGGACCAGCAGGTGGTATGATGGTTAAGGTGCTCAATTCCCACATTGGCCAACCACAGTTTGAGTCTCAGACCTGATGGCTTGCTTTCTCACTTTCCCTTTCCTTCTCTTTTTTCTCTGTTGCTTTGTTGAGTGTGTGTTATGTGTGCCTTATAGCAAATTTAAAATAATGAAAAAATTGAATAAATACGTTTTTAAAATGAAAGTGTTGATGGTAGGCCTAGCACTGGTACTAGTAGTCAGTCACTGCTCCATGAGCCTGGGGCCCATCACAGCATAAACAGGGTGTATGCTAGGGCAGCTTGCCTTTGGTTCTAGCTAAGAGGTTGGACGCCTTACAAAATTACCTATTTATTTCTCTCTTGTTTTCACTCTCCCCCCTCTCTAGCATTAATGGTAGAATCTAAATGTTTGTATTTGAATATTTACCATAAAACTTCCAGATTTGCTAAATGCTTCAAATTTTTCCTTTTGGGTTCTTCAGGGGGAGGGAATGTACTTTTTCTTATTTTGAAAATCTATTTATTCAAGGGAATCGGTTTTTGAAGATTTCTAGACTTTGGTACTTTTTTTTTCTTCTTTTTCAAGAATCTGTTTGGTAAATATTTTTGTTTTTGCTTGCAGAAATTAATCCCAGAACTCCAAAAGCTATTCATGAATAAAAATGAGACATATGTGTTAAAATTATGGCCTTTGTTTGTCAAACTTCTTGGAAAGGTAAGTGTCACAGTTAATTAACAGTCCTCAACTTTTACATGTCAAACACTTTAATTTTTTTTTTTTTTTTCTTTTTGGAGGTTTTTGCTATAGGGTGTGCGCACTCGCCAGAAAGAGAAAAAGAAAGTGAGAAATCAGCCCCCAGGGGGGATGGCTATGCCACAGTCCCTTCTCCTCCATTCTCCTGTCAGGATCTTGGAGATGCATGCACATGCAACCCGTGTGAGTTTAGGCCACTAGGTCTGGGACTTGAACCACAGTAGACTACATGGGAATCCAGCAACATAGCCATTATGCCAGCTGCTGGTCCCAATTTTTTTTTTTTCTTTTTTCTTTGTTGCTTTTCTCTCTCTCTCTCTCTCTCTCTTTTTTTTTTTCTTTTTCTTTTCTTTTTTTTTTTTTTTGAGAGGTTTTTGGTATAGGGAACGTGCGCTCGCCAGACAGAGAGAGGCATAGAGACAGAAAGCGAGAAATCACCCCCAAGGGAGGGGTCACGCCACAATCCCTTCTCCATTCTCTTCCTGGGATCTTGGGCACGCCCACACACGTGCCCGGCGTGAGTTTTAAGCCACCAGGTCCAGGACGCAAACTGCGGTCGACTACGTGGGAGTCCAGCGACATAGCCATTATGCTAACTGCTGGTCCCTATTATTTAAGAATTGTTTTATTTAACTTTATTTATTTTAATTTGACCAGAGAGGGACAGAGTGAAAGTGGTAATGTCTGGGTAAAGATCTTGCTTCTTTTTTTTTTTTTGCATATTGATGTGTAGTTTTCCTAGCATCATTTGTCGAAAGGACTATTTTCATTTGTCAAAAATCAGTGGAAATACATGTGAGGTTTTATTTCAGGACTCTTTATTCTTTATGTCATTACCACATGTTTTATTTACTTATTTATTTTTAAAGAATTATTTGATTTATTTATTCATTCCTTTATTTTGACCAGAGAGAGACAGAACCAGAGTGAAAGTGGGAAAGCAAGCCATCAGGTCTGGTCTGGGACTCAAACTTTGGTCAGCCATGTGGGAGTGTCCAGCACCTTAACCACTACACCTCTTGCTGGTCCCCTACTATGTATTTTATTAATTGCTATATTTTATAGTCATTTTACAGTCAGTAAGTGTAAGCCCTTCCCTTTTTTTTCTCTTTCAAGATTTTTTGGGTATATGAGAATTTTCAATTCCTTATGAAGATTGGCTTTATCTGAAAAAGGCTGAAAGAATCTTTTAAGTTTACTTATTTTCATTTTTTTTTGGTGGGGGTTGTACATAGATAGCCTTGACAGGGTCTCACCAAACTCTAGTCCTCTTCCTGCCAATCAGAGTGCCTGACCTCTTAAAGTCAACCCAGATTTTGAGCCTGGATCGTGCACGTGTGTCTAGTATCATCCAGCCTTGCCCTACCAATTATATATCACTATGGCTAAAAAAGCCATATTTTCTTCCCGCTATAGGGTGCGTGCGCTCGCCAGACAGACAGAGACATAGAGACAGAAAACGAGACATCACCCCCCCAGGGGGGATGGTCACGTTGCAATCCATTCTCCTCTCAGGATCTTGGGCATGCACGCACACGCGCCCGATGTGAGTCTTAAGCCACTGGGTCCGGAACGCGAACCGCGATCAACTACGTGGGAGTCCAGCAACATAGCCATTATGCTAACTGCTGGTTTCCCCTATAGGTATCTTGATACAGATTTTGTTTAATCTGTAGATTGCCTGGGGGGAGTAATAAGATTTTAACAGTGATAAGTACTCCTATTTAGGAATATAGTTGTCTTTCAGTTTATTTGGATCTTTAATTTACTTCAACAGTATTTTGTAGTTTTCGTCAATGGTTTTTTTTTTTTTTTTTTTTTTTTTTTTAAAGAAATATTTAATTATTAGTAGTAGTAGTATTGTTTCAGTTTGACACAGGCACTCACCAGAGAGAGACAGAGAGGGGGAAAGTGAGAAAGCAAGTCATCAGGTCCAGGACTCAAACTGCGGTAAGCCATGTGGGAGTCCAGCGCCCCAACCACCACACCATCTCCTGGTCCCAATATGTCTTTTATTTATTTTGTTATATCTGGTCTTAAGTATTTAATTCTTTCATATTCTGTGTAAGTGGAATTGCTTTTCTAATTTCTTTTTCAGATTGTTGGTGGCAGGTGTATAGAAGCACACAACTGATTTTCATGTCATAATCTTATTCTCTCAAACTTTGCTGAAGTCATTCACTCAAGTGGCTTTGGTTTTTTCTAATCCAATTTTATAGTCGTTGATTGTTTATATTAATGTTAAGGTTATATGTGGTTGGGCTGGTTCTGTAATCTAATGGTTAAGTGAGCTGGATCCCGCATAGTCAACTTTGGTTTGAATCCCGGCCATGGCAACATGAAAAACATGTTTGGAGCATGTGTGTGCATGCCCCAAATCCTTATAGGATTAAGAAATGGAGCAAAAGAGATTGTACCCCAATGGAGAGTGTTGTTTCTCTCTGGCAAGCTTATTTGCCCCCTGGCAGTTAAAAAAAAAAAAGCATTGTGTTTTGTTTTTGCCTACTTAAACTTTCTGGAGAGTGTACACATTCAGTGGAGGTGGGGTAGTAGTTAGAGAGCACCCACTATGGGTTATGGTCATGCCACAGTCCCTTCTTTTTTTGTTTTAGAATTTGGGGCACACACTCATCTGCACCCAGCATATTTTTCAAACCTGCAGGTCCAGGACTTTAACTGCATAGTCAGCCTTGCCAACAGCTGGGCCAATATGTAGTCATACAGTCCTCTTTGGATTGTTAATGTTTTATATAATTTTGTTCTTACGATGCATTGTTTGCTTATCACTTGATCCATTTTATACTTTATTTTCTTTAGCTTTATTCATTTACTTTTTAATACCAGAAGGTGTGTGTACATGAGAGATTGAAAGCTTCTCCAGTGGCTTCTGGGCATGCCTCAATTCTTTTCCTTTCAATTCTCTAGATAATCGTAGTAGAATCCTGGGTGACTGTGCACATCTGGCACATTCTCTCTCTCTCTCTCTCTTTTTTTAAAGAGATTTTTGCTATAGGGCATGTGTGCTCAGTAGAGATAGAGAGAGACAGAAAGTGAGAAATTACCTCTCTGAAAAGATAGTCACATCACAGTCCCTTCTCCATTCTCTTGGAATATTGGGCATGCACTCACATGTGCCTGTGCCAGGCATAGGCATGAGTTTTATACTGCCAGGTCTGGTACTCGAACTGTGATCGACTACATGGGAATTTAGTGACATAACCATTAAGCCATCTTCTGGTTCCCACATCTGGCACATTCTTCAAATCACAGGGGCCAGGACCCAAACTCTAGTTGGCCATGCAGGATCTACTTTCCTCCGATCAGTGCTCAACCATTGCTCTGTGGGGCTGGATTTATTTAAACAAGTGTTTAAATATTTTGTTTTAAGACAGGATCTTGCTATGTTGTGATTCTGGCTCAGTCTCCCAGTTTTGCTATAAGGTTGTGTTACCACTCCCAGCTCTTTTTTTTTTAGACGAGATTTTACTCTGTTGTTTAGAATCATGATTCCTCCGCCTCTGCCTCCTGCTTCATGAATCACTGGGATTATAGGCATGTAGATGAGAATCTAACCTTGACCTTCATTGTGGTCCCAGCTTCTAGGGTATAGTATTTTACTCTGTTGTGTATAGTCCTTTTGCTGGGTTTATTTTCCTTAATTGGAAATACTTTGATTTGAATTGTGTATAATATTTTTTAAAGAATTATTTAACTTTTTTTATTTATTTATTTTAATTTGACCAGAGAGGGACAGAGTGAGAGAGAGAGAGAGAGGGAAAGTGAGAAAGAAAGCCTCCAGGTTCAGGAGTTGAAACACAATCAGCCATGTGGGAGTCCAGCGCCCTTAACCACCACGCCACTTGCCAGGCCCCTGTATATAATATTTGAATCATATATAGTGTGACTGATTTTAGAAGTTAACCTGTTTTCATGATTCTAGTTCATTTTTGCCATCTTACCAGATTTCTCAGGTATTAGTATTTTTTCTTAACCAGTAGGAAATAATTTTGAATAATCATAAATTTTCTTCCCACATATCTTACTTTGTATTAAAAAAATGACGTTGTGATCCATTTCTCTGCAATTAAAATATTTTGAAATGTTTGATGTATTAAAAATAACAAACAGGGAAGGCAAGATGAAATAATGATTTTTTTCAGAAATTTCTGTGTCCCCAGCACACAACAAGAGGCAAATAAGTAAGATCCCCCTGAGCACAAATTTCCAAAGAATTGGAGAAGTGTAAGAAATGGGATGAAAATGGTGGCATGAAAGGGAATTAGTATTAGTAGGACCTCTTCAAATAACCAAATGCAATAAATTCTGAACGAGGCCAAACTTTAGGATGTTCTTGAGCTGAAATTAGAAAATACTGTGATATAGACATAGTTGTGTCAACTAAGTTTAATAAAAGATTTTCTCCCAGAACCACTGTTGTGAACAGAAACCTGTTCTGGCATTAAAAGCAGTCACACTAGCCCTTCCATCTCTTTCGTGAAAGCGTGATAAACATCATCCTTAGCATTCTGAGACAGGAATAGACTGGAGGAACATTAGAATCATTCCCTTACTTGCTTTGAGAAGTAACTGTAGCCCCTTTTTCCTCCCTATGTACTCTTGGACTTTTTTTTTTTTTTAATTAAATGATTTACTTAATTCCATTTGTTGTTATTCATTTTTATTTGACCAGAGAGAGAGAAAGAAAAAGTGAGAAAGGAAGCCACCAGGTCCGTGACTAGCAACATGGTTAACCATGTGGGAATCCAGCACCTTTAACCACCACACCACCTGCCAGCCCCCTTCCTATGTGCTCTTAATTCAGTGGGCACAAATCAAATAAATCTCTGCCTTGAGTTTAGTGATCTATGGCTTGGCACTTATGGTTGCTGTGACTTCTCAATAGTAGCTGAATTTGTATCATCTACCTTTGGTTGCTCAATCAAATGGGGTACTTAAACCCCTTTGATCTGGCAAAGGAGTGGTTGGGAAAGCTCAGGTGAGCAGACCTACCAGAGCTGGACCTGGGGAGGGTCAGAAGGCTGGTATGGTGGTGATCCCTGGAGTAAAAGGGTAAAGGCCCTAGAAATCCTACCGTTCCAGGCAGTCTCAGGAATGAAAGAGACCCAGGAGAAAAGCCTGTGGGTGGCCCAGGAGGCCATAAAAGTGGAAGAGATGGTGGTTTGAATTGTTCCTGGCATGGAAGGTGCTTGTATTTGAGGAGGAGGAACAGACGGGAGTGGGGAGTGGGGGCTGCTGCTGTGAAGAAGCAGCGTATGTGCCATCAGAATGAGATATCTCTTTTTGCTGCTTTTGTGACTGCTTCTCTATTTCAGAATTGTCAGAATCATCCTCATTATTTTATTATGTGTGAATTCTACTTTTTATCCATCCTCTGGAATTTTCTAAGTTATCATTCAAAGTTTCATGGCTTGAAGAGGAGTTAGCTCCTCCTCCTCTTTTCTTCCTTGATTTTCCAGGCATATCTGCTAGTCATACACTCAGACCTTACTGTTTTCCCTTCGTTGTCTCTCTCACTATTGTCACAATGCACAAATTTATTTCCCTCATTTCTCTATTTGCTCTGTCAGCCTGTCAGTATGTGATCCTGTATATCTTAATCCATATCCTCATGATAGCCATCATCTTCATTACTCTGCTGAGCAAGTTTGGAGCTATATAACGTCTTCATCTTACACATGGGGTGGAAGATCTAGGTCACAGCCCACATATTTAAGGCCATACATCTGCAAAACTTGAGGAGGTGGACCAGGGGGCCCAGATTTTTTGCCAGGTTGAAAATGTGGAATACCATGTCCAAGAAGAGGAAATACAGTAATTGTGTGAGTTGGAGGTTTATAGGATTGTCTTAAGGATGAAGGGTGGTTGGGCACCAAGAAGTAGAGTAGCCTACATCACGATGTTGGAAGGAGCATGTGGCTTTTCTTCTAAAAGAATACACTTCACTTCCCAACAGCATCAGAATACTGGCTAAGTAGAACCCTCATTTCTGCATATTCTATTTCTAGCCTTCTCAATTTCTTATATTAGGTCTTCAGGAAAGTCATGATGAATTTTTCTGGTTTTCTATGAAAAAAAACGACCCGGGAACCAGCAGTTAGCGTAATGGCTATGTCGCTGGACTCCCACGTAGTCGACCGCAGTTCGCGTCCCGGACCCGGTGGCTTAAAACCCACGCAGGGCGGGTGTGCGGGCGTGCCCAGGATCCCACGAGGAGAATGGAGGAGAAGGGATTGCGGCGTGGCCATCCCCTCTGGGGGGTGATTTCTCGCTTTCTGTCTCTCTGTCTCTCTCTGTCTGTCTGGCGAGCGCACGCGCCCTATAGTGAAAAACCTCTCAAAAAAAAAAAAAAAAATCTCAATAAAGTGTCTTTTTCACAATTGTTGAATATGTTTAAAGGTTTCATGTCGCTTCTTGCACTTGTCTTTCAGTATTTTCCCATTTAACTGTGGCTGTTGATCTGGATTTCAACCAGTTTTAACTCCCATTTTATCCAGTTTTTCCGTATCGTGGATAAGCTGTGATCTTTGATATTTAGAACTGCAGTTAGTCCCATCACGTGCTGTTTTTTGTTCTGTAATTCTTCCAGGCTTTGTTTCAGGCGTGGTCTGTAGGATTCATAAATTTCCCACTTTTTTTGGACCAGCAGATGGCGTAATGGTTACGTCGTGGATTACCACATAGTCAGCTGTGTTTCAAGTCCGAGACCTGGTGGCTTGAAATTCAAACCGAGCGCATGTGTGTGTGTGTGCCTCAGATTCCAAGAGGAGAATGGAGGAGAAAGGATTGTGGTGTGGGCATCCCCCTGTGGGGTGATTTCTCGTTTTCTGTCTCTCTCACTCTGGTGAATACACATGCCTTATGGCAAAAACCTCTCTTTAAAAAAAAAAGAAAGAAATTTCCCACTTTTGGTGGATGATGTTGATCTCAATCTCATGTTGACAATCTATATGGTTCACTTACTCATTAAAAAAAAAAAAAATAGGGCCAACAAATGGCATGGGGGTTAAGGCACTAGATCATGGGTGACTATTGCTGTTCAAGTCCAGTTGCCCCCTACCCCACAGAAAAAATGCAAGATGTCTGTGTGTGTGTGTGTGTGTGTGTGTGCACGTGTGTGCTTGCCGTGTGCCCAGTAACTCCTGAGAAAAGGGGTTGCAGTGTGGCCATCATTTCATTCTCTATGTCTCTGTCTTTCTGTCTCTGGTTAGCACAGTTGCCCTGTAGCAAAAATGTTTTATTTTATTTTTTTTTTAAGTTTGCTACCAGACTTGTGTGCTTGCCAGAGAGAAGGAAAGTGAGGGAGCACCCACCAGGGGAAATGGCTACAGTGCAATTCCTTTTACTTCATTATCTTGTCAGGAGTTTAGGTGCATACATGCATGGGCCCAGTGTGTTTTTCAGGCTGCCTAACCTGGGATTCAAACCAGTCAACTGGGTGGGATCCAGCCACCTTAATCTCCACACCATAGACTGACCTCTTTTAAATTGTAATTTTAGGGCTGGCAGGTGGTGTGGTTAAAGGTGCTGGATTTCCAACTGCAGTTCAAGTCCTAGACCTGGTGGCTTGCTTTTTCCGTTTCCCTTTTCTCTGTTTCTCTGGCCAAATTAAATAATAACAACAACAATGAATGGACTTAGATAATGCTTTTTATAAAAATATAAATGTAGACATTTTTCATGGGCTTCCTGGTCTTCAAGAAATAGTAAGGAGATGATTTTTGTCTTTTCATAGGGACCTTCACCTCAGCTTTTTGGTCAACCCCTCAGCCATTGCCATCTTGAAACAACTCTCTGCAACACTTGTATCACTACCTTCAGATACTACTGTTTGCTACATTTCTTTTTTATTCATGACATTTTCCCTCCTGTTTTAGTCATCTTGAAAAGGTTACTTTTACTAATTCTAGGGTTCAACATTTTTTATTCTCATTATTGATTATATTTTATTCAGGTAATTTAATTTCTCTGCTATTAACCTTAATACAATTTAAGATTCAGCTACCTTCCTTATTTTCTTTAATATTTTAGAAATATTCTGTCTACCACATCAAGTCTTAAATATTTTATGATCTTGAATTTTTAGTATGGACACAAAGTTCAGTATTTTTTTTTTTTAAATTAAAATTCCTGGGGCCAGCAGGTAGTGTGGTAGTTAAGGTGCTGGACTCCCACATGACCAGCCACAGTTCAAGTTGCACACTGGTGGCTTGCTTTCTCACTTTCCTTCTCTCTTTTTCTCTGTCTCTGGTCAAATTTTAAAAGTAATAATAATAGGTAAAATTAAACAAATTTAAAAAAAAAAAAAGAGGGATGAGCAGGTGGCATGGTTGTAAAGGCACTGAACTCTCACCGTGGCCAACCACGGTTCAAGTCCTGGACTAGGTGGCATGCTTTTATCAGTTTACATCTCTCTCTCTGGTCAAATAATAACAATGAATAAGGTTAAGTAAATAATTACAAAATAAAAAAATTCTTAAGACTGCATTAGTTCTTATAACATATCTTTATGTTTTATGGATAGTTTGTCTTTTTTGTCCCCTTGTTAGATTATGAGCTCCTAAGGGCATATATTAAGTAAATTAATAGGTAAATTTCACCTGTATTTTATTTTGTGAAGTTAACTTTTAAGTGAATTTTTCCCTTCTTTAGACCTTACATCGAAGTGGGAGCTTCATCAATTCTTTGTTACAGCTAGAAGAACTGGGATTCCGTAGTGGAGCACCCATGATAAAAAAAATAGCATTTATTGCTTGGAAGAGTTTAATAGACAATTTTGCTTTAAATCCAGGTAAGTAAACATTTAAAAATTTAAATTTTTTTATGAATTTATTTTAATTATAAGCAAAGTTTAAAAAGGAAGCTTTTCTAAAAGGTTCTGTAAACTTTTATGTTAGAGCATAGCTATTGCTGAATTGTTTTTATTTTAAGGGAACAGTAATAATTTTGTAAAATAGAATTCAAGGACAAAACTTTTTTTTTTTTTTTTGAGATGTTTTTCGCTATAGGGTGCATGCGCTCGCCAGACAGAGAGAGAGAGACATAGAGACAGAAAGTGAGAAATCACCCCCCAGGAGGGATGGTCATGGTGCAGTCCCTTCTCCTCCATTCTCTTCTCGGGATCTTGGGCACGCACGCACACGTGCCCGGCGTGAGTTTTAAGCCACCGGGTCCGGGACGCGAACCACGGTCGACTATGTGGGAGTCCAATGACATAGCCATTACACTAACTGCTGGTTCCCCAAAACATTTATTAAAATGAAAGGTAGAAAGTGTAAGTTATTTTTTCAGATTTGTCAAAAGGCATGTGTACTTGCCAGAAAGAAAAATTACCCCCAGCAAGGATGAATATGCCATAATCCCTCCTCCTCCATTCTTGGGATTTTGTACGTACACACACACACACACACACACACACACACCTGGCATGTTTTTTGAGTCCCAGAGCCAGCAGCTTGAGAATCACATCAGGTCGGTGTGCATGCATGCCCAAAATCCTGAGAGGAGAATGGAGGATGTTTTTCGCTATAGGGTGCATGCGCTCGCCAGACAGAGAGAGAGAGACATAGAGACAGAAAGTGAGAAATCACCCCCCAGGAGGGATGGTCATGGTGCAGTCCCTTCTCCTCCATTCTCTTCTCGGGATCTTGGGCACGCACGCACACGTGCCCGGCGTGAGTTTTAAGCCACCGGGTCCGGGACGCGAACCACGGTCGACTATGTGGGAGTCCAATGACATAGCCATTACACTAACTGCTGGTTCCCCAAAACATTTATTAAAATGAAAGGTAGAAAGTGTAAGTTATTTTTTCAGATTTGTCAAAAGGCATGTGTACTTGCCAGAAAGAAAAATTACCCCCAGCAAGGATGAATATGCCATAATCCCTCCTCCTCCATTCTTGGGATTTTGTACGTACACACACACACACACACACACACACACACCTGGCATGTTTTTTGAGTCCCAGAGCCAGCAGCTTGAGAATCACATCAGGTCGGTGTGCATGCATGCCCAAAATCCTGAGAGGAGAATGGAGGAGAAGAGATGGCGACATGGCCATATCCCTGTTGAGGGGTGATTTTTCACTGTCTTTCTTGCCCTATAGCAATAATAATAACAGAGTGTAAGCATTTGTGACTTACTGTATATTAACACTGAATCAAGCACTTCATATACATGGTATTTAAGCATCACATCAGAACTGAGATGTAAGTCTTAGCACTGTTTTATAGATATTCATTTAAAAGCAGTCACATAGCTCATAGGAAACATTCGTAGTTGCTGGGGTATAAAAATATCACTGACTGATGACTTTATTTTCTGGATCCCTGGAAAAGTTGCCTACCCTAGTGAGTTAACATTTAATATATGGAAGTGATTACTTTTCATTTACCTTTATCTTATTGTCCTGTGGAGTTGTGTGATTGTATGTTACATGAAAGAGAATTTAGCTCAAAAGTGGGTCAGCCAAAGTGCATAATAATTAGGTTATTGTTAATCTTAGGTTTAATCAATAGTGAAGGTTTACCAGATCGGCTGAGTCATGGTGATTTCATTCTATATTTTTTCCAGCCAGAGAATGTTAATAGCTTCTTTTCTTCCTACTTATGTGTCTTGTATGATTATTTTCTTTAGTTGTAAATACTTTCATATAAAATACTGGCAAAAGTATATTTAGGGCCATAATTTTCTGTTGGAAAAGCCACTTTTAATTTATGAACTGACAAATAACTTGGGAATATTCCATATTGTGAGATAATGTTTGGGACTAAAATCTGTTGCAATAATGTATTTATTACATGGCAAAGAATAAAATAGGTGTGGCATAAAGAAGATAAGTAGATGCTATTTTGAAATAAGTCCAGAGCTAGAGAACTCATGATGGTATTGTGGATCTGAGAAGTCATCCAGGAATCTGATGCCTGTCTTTCTGTTCTGACATCTTCATAATATGCCTCACACACAGACTGGGAAGGCATTAGGGAGAAGAGCAGAAAAGACTGCTTCCTAATTAATTAAGATGCCTGTACAGATAAAAAACTTGTAAGAATCCCGTATATACCTCCTTTTAAATCTTGAATGGAATGGCTAAATGACAGGCCAGAAAATGAAGGAAAACCATAGGCATCCATCACTGAGTAAAATCTGGTTTATAATTAATGGAGCAGTTTGTTGTGTGCCGGTGAGAAATCTCTTACTGTGTGGATAAAATCATGGAGCCCTTCATATGAGTAAGAGTTCAGAAAAGGAAGTGTCTGGTCTAGAAGACTTGGACCCACAGTGATCTGAATTTATTTCCAAGTCTTTGGTAGTTAATTGAGTAAGACTATCTTAATTTTACGTATTTCCAGTTTTACTCACATGGTACACACCTGGTACAATTTTCTTTAAAGAAACAGGACTTTATTTTTATTATTGATTCTTAGCAGTCTTCTTTTAATCCATAGGGATTTTTTTGAGTTTGTTTGTTTATTCTGTGAACAAGTGAGACAGATTTTACCCAGCAAAGCATCAACATTGTGATCCACCCCTCAGATTCAGCCCTGAATCACAGGCATGTGAACCTGGCCTCCTCAGGTCTCCAGGTGAAAACCTGGAATTTCTCCTGTGGGACAGTATTCCAGAGCATTACATTTTCTCTTTTTTAAATTTAGGACGGCCAGCATTTGGGCCACCCTAAAGATTTTAACAGTCTGATTATGTTAAGGTAGGGTAGACATGAATCTAAATTTAGATTTCCAAAGTAAATTAATGGCCCCAACAGTAATAATGTTTCATAGAATAAATTGCTAATTTATATTTAAAATGATAACGGTTTTGGCTATAATGTAGGACAGTACTCAACGTTTTGGCAGTATTTCTCAATGTTTTTCATTTTGTGTTGGATAATTTGTTGATAGGGACTGTCTTGTACGTTACATGAAGTTTAGCAGCATCCCTGGTTGCAACACACTAGATGCGAGTAGTAACCATCTAGTTATAACAACCAAAACTATTGTAGAAATTGCCAAATGTCCCTGGTGAGAAAATAGACTCTGGCACACAGAATCTAATGAATGTTTTCTGTTCTCTTTCTAATATATTTTTTATGCCGTACTGTTTTAAGTTATACTGGACTTTATTGAAGGAAAAGTTTTGGGTAGAGCAAGAACAGCCTGATGATTTGCCTTTTATTATTCTTAAATTTTAAAATCTATTGTGGTAAAAGGAAATTATATAGCTCATTTATATATTTTAATCTTTACCTCTCAAATCTTTTTACCCTGTGTCCTTGTTTTTATTTTTGTTTTCTAAGATATACTGTGTAGTGCAAAAAGACTCAAGTTGTTAATGCAGCCTTTGAGTTCCATCCATGTGAGAACAGAAACTCTAGCATTAACAAAACTAGAAGTCTGGTGGTATTTACTGATGAGACTTGGACCTCATCTTCCTGCTAATTTTGAACAGGTAACATAATAAGTGTTGACTATAACATGTTTTTATTAACATGTTCTTAAATTCTTACCAGTCTAGTTTTATAGTGTTTATTTTTTATGTATTAGCAGAGTATAGTACTTGCAAATATCTTTTTCCTGACACAGAATATGAATGTATTTCCTACAAAAGATACTCTCCAGTTACCTAAAATAGAACCCTTCATGCCTTTCATTCAGTAAATGTTCAAGTATCTATTCTAGCTCCAGAATTCATTATGATTTTACAAAGGAACTTATTTTTCCCCAGAGGGTTTAGTGTGCAACTGAAAGTGAAATCAATGGTATAGTAGCAGTGAAGTGCCACACTGGGTTGGATCAGTTATTTTTTGTTTCTCTTTTTAAAGCTATTATACATAGTGATAACCAATACTTTAATCATATTATAAATTCTTAACAAGTGATTTTTATAAATTTCTTTAGATTTTGGTATCCTTGCTGGAGGATAGCTCTAGGGCTGGCCCCATGGCCTAGTGGTTGGGAGAATTGGTTTCCACATGGCCAACTATGCAGTTCAAATCCAAATCCAGTGGTTTGAAAACACCGTGGGTATGGGGTATATGTGTTCCCAAATTCTGATAGGATGGAGAAGGGATTACAGTGTGACTAAGGCCCGTTGAGGGGCGCTTTCTCCCTCTCTCATGAGCGCATGCAACCTCTGACAAAAAAAAAAAATTTAAAGGAGTAGCTTTTTTGGCGGGGAGGGCGGGGGAGAGGTTTTTGCTATAGGGTGCATGCACTAGGCAGAGAGATAGAAAGTGAGAAATCACTCCCCAGGGGCGATGACCATGCTGCAATCCCTTTCTCCTCCATTTTCCTCTTGGGATCTTGGGCACACACGCCCTGTGAGTTTAAGCCACCAGGTCCAGGACTCAAACTGCGGTCAGCTACATGGAAGTTCAGCCACAGCCATTACACTAACTGCTGGTCCCAGCTTTTTTATTCTTTATGTTTATCTTGGATTTGTGGGTACATTTTACTTGCAGACCTAGTCCTGGTGTTTTAGATTTTTGACATAGGGCAAATTCATGCACTGGAGAGAGGGAAAGTGATCTGCATTCCCTTCTCTATTCTCCTCTTGGGATTTTTGACGCAGATACACAGCTTATTTTTCAGGTCGTGGAGTCCAGGACTTGAACTGCAGAGTAGGCCATATAGGATCCAGCTCATTAACCATGGCCTATGTCCTGGTTTTATACTCTGAAGAAACTGCATAGCAGGTTATGTGTTCTTGGAAAGGAGATTTTATAATAAATTTCTATCATTCTTAGTCATTTTTAATTTTGTAATGTAACATTTTTAAACTTTATATAATATGAAGTTGGAAAATGGGCATCAGTAGTAATATATAATTTGTAGCATAATGAGTTTTCCAAATTCTACTATTATAAGGTTTTTTTGTTTTGTTTTAGAATTTAGTTCTATTTACTCATTTAGTTTAATTTGACCAGAGAGATACACACACACACACACACACACACACACACACAGAAGAGAGAGAAAGCAAGCCAGCTGCCAGTTCTGGGACTTGAACCATAGTCAGCCAGGTGGGAGTGTCCAGCACTTAAACCATCAGGCCACTTGCTGGTCCTCCCAATTTAAGGTTTTAATAGGCTAACTTACCCAGTTTTCCAACACTTTAATTGGAATAATTTATCCAGTGACTTGAATGTGACTGACTGGTACTGGAATGATAGAAATGAGCTTTTAGTTCATATTTTCTGGAGTCCTTCTTTAAAAAATTAAAATTAGGCTACCAATAATGAATAAAGCTCAGATAGATGTTATTTGCAAAAACTGTTTGTGTATATAATTTTTAAATTTGACTGTAGAGAATAAGAGAGAGTACGAAAGCAAGCTGCCAGGTCCAGGACTCGCACAGTGGTTAGCCATGTGGGAATCCAGTACCTTAACAACTGTGCTACTGCTGGCCCCTTGTGTATATAATTGTGTGTGTGTGTGTGTGTTTGTGTGTAAAATTTTTCATCTTGGATTTAGAACCGAAATACACAGATAGTGTATCTCTAGGGCAAATACAGTTGTAATACAAATTTCCATCTTAAACTTGGTTTTTAGCCTGTCAGCATGGATGGAAACAAGTGTAACTCAATAATAATTGATAATTAATAATTGATATATTATCAATAGAATTAGGATCATTTTTACTAAATATATGATACTTTTTAAAATTGTGATTTTAATTTTGTAAGGTCATTTTTCTTCTTTCATTCTAATAGGTTTGTGTACCTCTAATTCAGAGCACAATAAGCATTGATTCTAGTGCTTCACCTCAGTTTAATTCATCCCGTGTGACTACTTCTCCAGGTTTAAACTCTATGACTCCTGTACATAAAGGTAAGAGGGCGACGTCTTTGCCTCCCCTTCACCCCCCTCCCCCCCAGTTTAAAGTGAGGGTTTTGCTCAGCTTTTTTTTCTTTTCCACTTGAAATGACACATTTATTGGTGGTGGTTTTTCAGTTTAGTATTTACTGTTTCTTTTGGGAGAGGTTTTTGCTATAAGGGCGCATATGTTCACCGGAAAGACAGAGAGAGACAGAGAGAAAGAAATCACCCCCCAGGGGGAATGGCCATGCCACAATCCCTTCTCCATTCTCCTTTTGGGATCTTGGGCATGCACACACGCGGCTGTCCTGAGTTTAAGCCACTGACTGGGTCCGGGACTCGAACCGTGGTCAACTACGTGGGAGTTCAGCAACATAGCTATTACACTAACTGCTGGTTCCGTGTTTATTGTTCTAAGTGCACTGTTAATTATAATAATAAAAGTTTTCTTACTATATGAGGTGTCTTACCAAGAACTCAGAAAGACTGACAAAAAGTCACAGAATTCTGTTTGTTGTAGAACCAGAATCTGGAAGCTATTTAAAATTACAAGTCTTGGGCTTGTCCCATAGTCTAGAGGTTAACAGCCAGATCTCACATGGCTAACCGTGGTTCAAATCCCGGAGCTGGTGACTTAGAAAACATGCTTGGCTTTATGTCTTTGTGCCTGCCCCAAATCCCAACAAGATGCATACATCAAAGAGAAGGAATGCCCCATTGAGGGATGTTTTCTCCCTCTTCCACTATTTCTTAGGAAAGCACACATGCTGCTTTACAATAAAAATAAATTAAAATAAGACATATTAATGGATGTAAGAACTATCATTTAACATGACTATATACTGTTCAAAGCTGTTAATTTGCTACGTAAGTTTCTCAAACTTTTGCTTTTCTATATTTAAGTTATAGGAATCTCCATATATTAATATTACATGTTATGGAGTGATGCCAAACAATACTTATGAATGTATTTTATTTTGCTAGAGTGCATGTGCACTTGACAGAGAGAGACAGGAAAGAGGGTGAAAACACCCTCCACTGGGTTGTGGTAATACTGAAATCCCATTAGCATTTCTCTACCCTGTCAGGATCTGGGGCATACAGAAATGTGCACCCAATGTATTTTTTGAGTGTGCTGGTCGGGGACTTAAATCACTTGGTTGGCCATGTGGAATCTGCCTCCCTTAATCACTTGCCTGTGGAGTTGCCCCTGATGCTTATTTTACATGTATGTTTCCTTGAAATGAAATAAAGGACTGGCCTCACAGTTCAGCAGCTAATCATAGTGCATGGAGAATTGGATCCTACATGACAGTTTGAATCCCAGCTCTGTTGCTTGTAAAACACAGTGGATAGGTGTTGAGTAGGTGCCCCAAATCCTGCTGGAATGGAGAACTGGAGAGGAAAACGGATTAGAGTGTGACCATGCTCCATTGGTACGCTAATTTCTTCCTCTAGGAGTGTATTCACCTTATTGCAAAAGGAAAAGATTTTTAGGGGGTAAAAAACATACAAAGTAAGTAAAATATGTACATGTGGATAGTTAAATAACAAAATAAGTTACATAACTTAACTTTCTGTTTTTGTTTTTGTTTTTTTATTTTTTAAAGGTGCTTCCCCATATGGAGTTCCTGTAAATCCCCGGTTGAGCATGAGTTCAAATTTAAGTGGAATGGCCACAATCCCTTCCATTCAACTTTTGGGACTTGAAATGTTGCTTCATTTTTTGTTGGGGCCAGAAGTCTTGAATTTTGCTAAACAAAACAAACTTGTACTGAGCCTAGGTATTTAAAAAATAATTTCATTTATTTAGACAGTCCAGAACTATGTGTTGGGGTTAAAGGAAAATGTTATTTTCCCCACAGCCAAAATACTCTATAATTCGGTATGACATAAAAGTATAAATCTTAATAGAAAACACATCTCTTTAGATCACGTAATATTTTATATTAAGAAATTTATTTCATAAAGCTGTTTTATGTAATTGCCTTTTATTCTCCCTTTTTTAGAGCCACTTGAACATCCGTTAATCAGCAGCCCTTCTTTTTTTTCCAAACATGCAAATACACTTATTACTGCTATTCACGATAGCTTTGTTGCAGTTGGAAAAGATGCTTCTGGTAAATATTTAATAGAAAAAAATCTTTATTTGTTTCAATTCTGTCTTTAAAAGATAGTAACATAGCAAATATTTTTGTGGTGCTATTTAATGGACAGCTTGCGTATCGGTATTGTAGTGCATATGTTAATTCACTTAATCTTCCCAACCTTTTGTGTTAGTTCATTTTCTTAAGTGAGGAAACTGGGTTTTATAGAGAAGTAAATAACCTGTGCAATGCCACATAGTAAGTGACAGAGCTGTTATTTATGTCAAGGCTCTATGGCTCCAGCATTTGCATCTGTGTTAATGAGGAAAAGATATTTTAAAAACTGAATTAGTGTGCTGGTTGGAAAGTGAGTTTTATTTTTTTCTGTTGGATGTCAGAGATCCTTCAGAGTCTTTTTCCTACTTTGATGGATATTTAGTAAGAAAGTTATGAAAATACAGAAGATAGGAAAAAGATAAAGCAGTTACTGTTAGTTATATGACCCATTGTTAGCATATGATAGTTCTTTAAAAACCAGTTTCTTTAAACAAAAATGATACTGTTTTATGAGCATGTGACAGGGCTGAGTATTATGAGGGAAATTATATTCTTAATTATTAAATTATTACTGAAGTTATAATCTCTTTAGTATAAAGAATGGGGAAGACTGTGGTCATATGTATTTCATTACAAGAATTATTTTTGGCAGATGCAGTTGTCACTGCTATATGGAACGAGCTAATAAGCCTGGTGAAATCAGTTACTGAATCGGGTAAGTATTATTACATGGATCAAATGACTTTCATAGTACTCAGTGGAATTTTGACTTTCATATGTAAAATGTACTTTAAAATGTTTTCATAGTGTCATAGTTTTTAGACATTACTTTAAACAAAGCACTTATTGTTGATTCAGTTACAAAGTAATTTTTCATACATCTGTAAGTATATTCACTTTTAAAATGACGTGTTTAGAGCTTTACTTTTCCTTTTGCTTTTTGATAGGTAACAGAAAAGAGAGACCAGGTTCTGAAGTTTTGACCCTCTTACTAAAGTCTTTGGAAAGTATAGTGAAGTTAGAAGTATTTCCTGTATCGAAAACATTGGTTAGTATAGTACCTATACATTGGACTTTAAAAACTGTATTTTGAAATTGAATTTTATATTGAAAATATTTGTACAGGAAAGATTTTGGGAAGACTTTTTTTAATACCAAGTATTCATCAGCCATTTTTCCCTATATTAAATGCCATTTTATTGATGTTCAAATCATTCAAAATCTTTTTAATAAAGTAAATGACGATAGTAGCAACTGTAAACATCTTCAATGTGATAAGAAAAAAAATTGGCCATATAGAGAAAATGGGATAAAAGGCAGGAAACTTGAACTGAAGAAACTCTTAAATGTCCTCTGATTTTATGACAGGATATGGGAGCACCACTAATGCTTAGCATGAATATTGTGTTAAATTAATTCTCTGTAACCAAGGTAATTTGTATTAGACACATTTTTTTATTCTGAATTATAGATGAGTAAAAGTGAATTATTAGAGACAATTTTGATGATAATGAACCTCCAGAAATAACCTACAAATAGAAGAAATAATACCCTATTTAAATTATTCAAGTCTATTTTATTAGACTAGTTATATCTATACTATGGCAGTATAGTGTATTGATTAAGAGACTGGAGCAGGCTAGGTTGAATCTTGACTCTACTAATTATTAGCTGTGTGTTTGAATAATGTTTTATCTACTCTCTTGGCCTTATCTTTATTTGTTATTTTTTGTTTGTTGTTTTTTTGAGAAGTTTTTGCTATAGGGCACATGTGTTTACCAGGAACACAAAGAGAGACAGAGAGATAGCGAGAAATCACCCCCACCCCCACCCCCCCAGGCGGCCACGCCGCAATCCCTTCTCCTCCATTCTCCTCTCCGGATCTCGGGCGGGCATGCACGCACACGTGCCCGACGTGAGTTTTAAGTCACTGGGTCCAGGACGCAAACCTCAGTCGACTACATGGGAGTATAGTGACATAGCCATTACGCTAACTGCTGGTCCCTTGGCCTTATCTTTAAAGAGCATATGTAATGATAATGATTATATGGCATTATGAGCCAGTTTCAAAATAAATGCTTTTTTTAATTGCCAAGGATAAATGTGTTTCTTTTTGGGGGGAAGCACCCTCCAAAGAGGGGGGAAGCACCCTCCAAAGAGCTGTCTATATATGTAGGTGGGAAACCTCTATGAAGAGGTAAAATGAAGTTTAAATGCAAATTTATCTTTAATGACTTTAGACATCAGTGGTTTGTATATAACAGCTTGCCCAGGAAGTTAGGTTTGTCTATGTACGTATACAGAAATTTAGAAAGTGTAGGAAAATAGACTACAAACCAAAATCACTGGTTATCACTAAAGATATAGGATTTTGTTATTTTACTTTTTGTGTTTCTACATTTGAACTTTTTACTACTAATGTGAATGTGTTCACATTAACGGATTATATTCACCTTTTGAACTGATTGAGAATGTATTTACTTTAATGGGTGACTATTACTTGAAATGAATTATTAAATTTAAAATATAGTGGGAACCAGCAGTTATCGTAATGGCTATGTCGCTGGACTCCCACGTAGTCCACCGCGGTTTAAGTCCCGGACCTGGTGGCTTAAAACTCACGCCGGGTGCGTGTGCGCATGTGCCCAAGATCCCGAGAGGAGAATGGAGAAGGGATTGCGGCGTGACCATCCCCCCTGGGGGGTGATTTCTCGCTCTCTGTCTCTATGTCTCTCTCTGTCTGTCTGGTAAGCACACACGCCCTACAGTGAAAATCTCCAAAAAAAATGAAAAATATAGTTAATGCTAGTGAATTTTTACTAAATAAAGTAGTATTTGTATGGCGAATTTACTATAAAATCTTTTATCTTTTACAGGTCCTCATGGAAATTACAATTAAAGGACTTTCTCAGAAAGTATTAGGTTCACCAGCATATCAGGTTGCTAATATGGATATTCTTAATGCAAGTATCTTAAATGTAATGCTATAATAGATTGGCAAAAAAAAAAAAAAAAAAAAAACAAAGAACAGAGATCCATGATATTTTTCCTTCCTTAAAGCGACATTTGAACAGGTTGAACATTTCTAATACGGAAATCTTAAATGCTCCAAATTTTGAAACTTACATGTCCACAAAAGAAATTTCCTCTCTGACCTCTTGTGTAGTCATAATGCTACGAAAATATTATATAAGATTATTCTTAGGCTCTGTGTATGAAACGTATGTGAAACAATGAATTTCATGTTTATATTTGCTCCTATCCTTGAGATATCTCACCATGCATATGCAAATATGTGAAATATTTTTTATAAAAATTCAAACTATGTCACATCTGGTTTTAAGCATTTTGGTTAAGGGATGCTCAACCAGATGTGACATAGTTTTTTTTGTTATTTGTGAATAATAACTAGTGCTAGTTAATGTTAAAATTTTGGAAGCTTAAGGAATAAGCTTAACAATGTGAAACGTACTTAGTATCTGTGGATATGGTGGGTTTATCATGTTTAAAGTTTTTTCCTCTCTGGCAGATGTTTAGCAGTCTAACAGATTGTAGTCAAACTACAACCCCCTTTCTTCTATTTCTCTGTTCCAGTTCCATCAAGATTTGGAGAACACACATGTGCCCTTTTTTAAAAAAGCCATTACAGCTAGTATTTGAACAGTGGTCAGCCGTGTAGGCTCTGGTTCGTTAGAAGTATTTCCTATATTGAAAATAGGGCTAACTTCTGGACTGTGGGGCTGACTTTAATGATTTTTTTATATCTGGAATCTTGATTTCTTGTGTAGATGGAACAGCTGTGATTGGAATATAGTATTTAATGTTTTATGTGTAGTTTATGGAAATAAATTTGCTGTCATCGTTGTCATAATCTTTAGTAATGCCAAAAGTTTCTCATGCTGAAACAGTCATATATCTTACATAACTGTAGAAAACAAGTGTACTGTTCTTTGTGACTAGAATGATGTCATTGTCTCCTTTCTTTAGGGAACTCCAGCTTTGTTCTTAATTCAGTTACTTTTCAACAACAGTCTCTTGGAATGTGGTGTAGCAGATGAAAGGTAAATTTGTACTTTAATTTGAAATTGAGTGTTTTTATAAGAGAGTACATATAGTTGAGAGAGAGAAGCAGAAAAGTAACCCAACCAGGATTTGTCAAACACATCAGTCTCTTACCCAGCCCTCCAACTCCTCACAATGCTGGGTACACACACTTATGAACAGGGGATGTTTTCAGAACAACTCAGGGACCCAGACCTCTGTCTACATGGGACTTCTAACACTGCAGTTCAGTTTGGTACCACTTTTGCGATCGACCTATGTCTGTTGTTTATCTTGTGTGGTATAGTATATGAATTAGATTTTTTTGAATACTATTTCATACATTTTAAAAAAGTTTTTAAGAGGCCTAGCCACAGTATCTCAAGCTGGGTACATGCTGAGGCCATGTGGAAGGCCCAGATTTCCTTCTTGGCCTCTCTAAAGAGCTGGTCAGAGTGGCAGAAGCTCGTGACCCCAGCTACTTGGAAAGTGAAGGCAGGAGGATCAAGACATGGTGCAGACTCAGCCTAAAATGAATAAGTAAAATGAAACATATACACACCTTTTTTAAACATTATTTTTAATTTTTTTGTCATAGCATGCGTGTGCTTACCGAAGAGGGGAGAGAAGAAGTGAGAAATCAACCCCACAGAAGGGATGGCCACTCCACACTCTCTTCTCTATTCCCCTTGGGATTTTGGGCACACATGCACATGTCCCCAAGAGTGATTTTCAAGCTGCTTTTGTCCAGGAGTTCAACTGTTGTCAGCCATGTGGGAATCCAGTGTCTTAACTACCATGCCACCTGCTGGCTTCCACTTCTTCTTTTTTTTTTTTTTTTTCTATAGGGTTTGGGTGCTCCCCAGACAGACAAAGAGACAGAGAGACAGAAAGCGAGAAATCGCCCTCCAGAGGGGATGGCCACGCCACAATCCCTCCTCCTCCATTCTCCTCTCGGGATCTTGGGCACGCACGCTCACGCGCCCGGCGTGGGTTTTAAGCCTCTGGGTCCGGGATGCAAACCGCAGTCGACTACGTGGGAGGCCAGCGACATAGCCATTACACTAACTGCTGCGTTCCCCACCTCATAATTTTTTATAACTATAATAGAACTTAGATTTTATAATTTCTTCTTTGCTGTTTTTTTTGATTTTGTGCAATTAATGTATTTCTACAAAAGTACAGATCAATACATTCTTTGTAATCTTTTCTTTAGGTTTTTTCTCAATCTGGAAAGTCTTGTAGGGTGTGTTCTTTCTGGTCCAACTTCACCACTAGCATTCAGTGACTCTGTTTTAAATGTCATTAATCAAAATGCAAAGCAGTTGGGAAATAAGGAGCATCTCTGGAGAATATGGAGTATTATAGTCACCCCGTTAACTGAGTCAATTAATCAGGTATGCTTTACAAGTATGCTGCATTGTCTTTCCAAAATTTCGACGATATTTCTCTTTTCCCCTTTTATTAGAGTACATGAAGAAATGAATTGAAATTTGCTTTTGTTTCTGTTTCTGTGTCTGTGGGGTTTTTTTCCTTTCGATTTTTAAAAATTATTTAACTGAATTGATTTATTTTAATTTGACTAGAGAGAGAAAAAGAGAGAGAGAGAAAGCAAGCCTCTAGGTCCTGGGTTTTGAACTGTGGTAAGCCATCTTTGGAGTCCAGTGCCCTTAACTACTGTGCCATCTCCCGGCACTATTAGAAAGATTTTTGAAATAGGGCTTGTGTGCTCACCGGAGACATAGGAAAGTGAGAAATCATCCCCCTGGGGGGATGACCACACCACAATCCCTTCTCCATTCTCCTTGGGATTTAGAAACGTGCACACACACGTGGCACGTGCCCAGTGTTAGTTTTAAGCCATCAGCCTGGGACTCAAACTGTGGTCGACTGTGGGAATACAGTGACATAACCATTACGCCATCTTTTGGTCCCTGAAGTTTAAGTTTGAATGTAACACCTTAAAAATTTTTATTTGTGGAATTTGGTAAATTGTCTGGTTTTTTTTTTTTTTTTTTAGAGATTTTTGCTATAGGGCGCGTGCACTCGCCAGACAGACAGACAGTGAGACAGAAAGCGAGAAATCACCCCCCAGGAGGGATGGCCATGCCGCAGTCCTTTCTCCTCCATTCTCCTCTCGGGATCTTGGGCACGCACGCACACGCACCCGGCATGAGTTTTAAGCCACTGGGTCCAGGACGCAAATCGTGGTCAACTACGTGGGAATCCAGCGACATAGCCATTACGCTAACTGCTAGTTCCCAATTCAGTTTTTATTGCATATCTACCTTGTTCTAGAAAGGATAACTTATCCAATAGTGATTTAAAAACTATTGGATCATCCAAAAAGTCCTGATGGATGTTTTCATAGAACAACCTAGAAAAATATGTCATTGACTTTTCTAGTGACCCCAATAGAAGGTCTTTCTTAAAAAGGACACATAAATATTTCTGTATCGTAGGTCAATGTATTGTAGTACTTGTACTAATAATAATCGTCATCTTCACTAAGGTATGTATTCTCACATTAAGTGATTATCTCAAACCACATGCATTCCCCTAAGTCAAGAATCTTGAGATTCAGTTACTCCTTATATTTACATACTTAGAAAATTGGCAATATTGGCAGGGCATGGAGAACAAGGTCTGTCACTACTCGTGATTTGTCAGCTTCTTTATGAGTGTTTAAATGGAAATATTATCTGCTGATTACCCTATAAACGACAAGTGAAATGAAGCCTCCAACAAAGTTATTTACCTTATTGTGAAGTAGCCCTTCTTTTGGTTACTTAGATTTAACATGCTATTAAACGTACTTTGTAAGAAAAATAGTTTACACTCATAAATTGTCCTATTGGAAGGAAAGACCCTTTATACACATACTTGTTTGAATGTTGTGTATGTACAGAAAAAGATTTTGGAGTTGCCTCTGAGATTCTTCTGTAGGATTTAAACGTAGTCTATCACATTCCCAAGGTTTCTGTAATAAATTAAAACTGATGGCTTTAAATAAGAGATATTTATTTTGTCTCAATTCTAGAGTCTAGAAATCCAAAATCAGGGTGTTAGTAAAATTGCTTTTCTTCTGGATATCTGAGGGAGAATCTGTCCCATGCCTCAGTGTCTAGAGGTCACTGGTAATCTTTGACTTTCTTTAGCTTATAGTTGAGTCAGTTAAATATTTATCTCCTCACTTGGTATTCTTATGTCCATCCAAATTTTTCTCTTATAAGGACACCATTTGGGGGCCAGCAGTTGGTGTAATGGCTATTTCGCTGGACTCCCATGTAATCGACTGTGGTTTGATTCCTAGACTTGGTGGCTTAAACTCACGCCGAGCGCATGTGCTTGTGTACCCAAGATCTCAAGAGGAGAATGGAGAAGGGCTTACAGTGTGGCCATCCTCCCTGGGTTTCTTGCTTTCTGTCTCTCTGGCTCTGTCTTTATGGCAAGCACACATGCCCTATAGCAAAAAACCTCTTTGAAAAAAAAATAATAAGAAGACATCATTTGTTGGATTCAGCCTTACTCTGCCTTAATATGACCCTTATCTTAACTTGATTACATCTGACCTTATGTAGAAGTAAGGTCACATTTATAGGCACAGAGGTTTAGAAGTTTAATATCTCGGATGTCAAGCACATTAAGTTACTACCTAGAATTTGAATACAGTAATAATTTGTCTAATTTCTTTTTTATTTCAGACCAATGAAGTCAATCAAGGTGATGCCTTAGAACATAATTTTAGTGCCATTTATGGTGCATTGATTTTACCAATAAATCATATTTTTTCAGTACAGAAATTTCCTGTGGTAAGACAATGTCTTTTTCTTTTCTTTCTTTTTTTTTTTTTTTTTAAAGTTTTTTTGTCATAGGGCACCTGCACTCACTGGAGAGAGAGAGAGATGGAAAGTGAGGAATCACCTCCCAGGGTATGTGGCCATGCCACAATCTCTCCTCTGGGGATTTTTGTCAAGGAACTGAATCTGACTGTGTGTATGGGACTTCTGAACCATGATCGGCCATGTGGGAGTCCAGCTCCTTAACCACAATGTCACCTGCTGGCCCCCAGTGTCAGTTTTTATGCGTAAAAGCATTTGTACTTGGGAACCAGCAGGTAGCATAGTGGTTAAGGGGCTGGACACTCCCGCCTGGCCAACCATGAAGTCCTGGACCTGGTGGCTTGCTTTCTCGCTCTCTCCATCTCTGGTCAAATTAAAATAAATGAATGAATAAATAAAATGAAATAATTCTTTAGGGAAAAAAATAAGCATTTGTACTTTTCTGGAAATGTTACTGTTGGCATTCTTTTTTCTTTTTTTTAATTATCACTTATTTAATCATATTTATCAGTGTTATTACTTTTAATTTGACAGAGAGATAGGGAAAGTGAGAAAGAAACCAGTAGATCTGGCGCTCTAACCACTGTTTGCCTTGTGGGAGTCCAGCACCTTACTCTTGCATTGTTTATATTAAGAGCTCCCACAATAATTTTTTCTGAAATAAGATATCTTTATGACTGTTGTTAACTTAAGGTTGAGAAAGAGGGTAAGTGAAAAAAAAAAACTTTTGTATTTTGATAATTACAAATTGATATTGTGGCATTATTACATTTCTCTAGTTAGAACTCTGCCAGGAGTGGAAACAGGTTATTATCCTATGTTATACTCCTCTGTGGTACCTAAAATGTTTATGATGGGGTCGGGGAGAGAAATTTTGAGTGCTTTTTACAAAATGTTAAAGATGATTGATTCTATTAATTTGGAACATAATTATACATTTATAAAATTTTGTTATTTTTGTTATTGTTAGGCCACTATGAAGACCTTACTTAAAACTTGGTCAGAACTGTATAGAACGTTTGCTCGCTGTGCTGCTTTGGTGGCAACTGCAGAAGAAAATTTGTGCTGTGAGGAACTTTCCTCTAAAATAATGTCTGGTTTGGAAGATGAAGGCCTTTCAGTGAGTTTGTCCTGATTCCTTTTTTATACTTAAAGGCTCTTTTTGAAGTAAATAGATGTTTATAACATTTGTGAAGTATCATTTATTCATGCTTGTATTTTATAAAATAAGTAAAGTTTTGTGAAACAAATAGCCGAGCTCTGAGGTCCACGTTTCAGGACTGTTGTCAGCAAAGCTCATTTCTAGTACTTCACTGTGTACCTCCTGTGTTTGCCATTTTGATGAATAGTACAATGCCCTTTCTGTCCCGAACCTCACTTTTCTCAAACCTCTTGGATTTTTCAAGCCACATCTTTGGAGTATTTACAGTCTTGAAATAGAAGTTCCTTTTCTTTCTCATCCTCAAAACTATTTTTGTCTGCAGTTTCATATGTATCATTCTAGCATAGACCTGTTTGTATTCACATTTGTAGTTAATGTATTTATGCTCATGTGTATATATGAATACAGTATTCTTGCCAATGAGATCTTACTGTATTTATTCTGAAATAATAACTTAGACAGTTTTTCATTAAACACTGTCTTGGTTTCTTTGTAAATCAGTCCATTTAGCTCTATTATTCCTTTCAACTGATATATAGTATTCTACAGTATGACTATGGTATGATTTAGAACTATTTTAAGAACATTTTGGTTTATTTTCAGTTATTCTTTATTGAATATAATCCTGGTAAGTTACCTTCACACACAAACCATTGTTTTTTATGCAGGTGTTTAGATACGATATGTTGTACCTATTTTTACATCAAGAATTATTATTTATCTTTTTAAATTTGCTATAGGGCATGTGACCTTACAGATGGGGGTGGGTAGTGAAAAAGCAAGCTGCCAGGTCTAGGACTTTAATTGCTGTCAGCCATGTGGAAGTTGAACACATTAACTATCTCACTACCTGCTGGCCCCTTGCTGGTTTCTTTATATCTTAAAATCTGATAGATTTTAATGAGGAATAAAGAAAGTAAAAATAAATTTTATTAAGTTTTTATGTTAAGTTTTCTGCTTTGCAAAGCAAAATGCATAAGCTCCTCTTATTACATTTTTTTTGCCAGTGGTACTATTAATAGTTACTTACCTTTTTTCAGTGTTTTGATGCATTTATAAATATGGCCCGTGTTCAAATAGTAGCACAGTTCTGAAAATTGTATTTTGATATAATAGTTTTTGTTGGAGTGATTTTAAAAATGTAAACAATCTTGTCGTTATTCTTGAAACACTTTTATAGCTTCTCTTGGATTTCGAAGAAAAATGCTTACTGTTTACCATGCCCATGAGGCTTTTGCCTCCTTCTCCAAGAGGTCTTATCTATATCTACTTAGGCTTGTTCGTTTTGTATTAGAACCTTGTTATTTCCTTTATTGTGCTTATGTCAAAATTATTTATTTCTTTACTTCATTATGTTACTTAACTCATATCTCATGAGGTTAGCAACATTGTCAGTCTCGATCATATTTATCCCTGGCCATCTTTCTAGACACTTAATAATTATTGAATGTTTTTGAGACTGATAGGGAGAAGCCAGCCCTCAGTTTTCACCTTTTAAAAGTTGTCTTGGGGACCAGCAGGTGGCATGGTGGTAGTGGCACTGGACTCCCACATCGCTGACCACAGTTCATGTCCCAGATTTTGCGGCTTGCATTCTCACTATACCTCCCTCCCTCTGCCTTTTTGTTTAGCACAGGTGTCCTATAGCAGATTTTAAAAATTTGTAACCAGAAGATGATGTAATGCTTATGTCATTGGATTCCCACATGGCAGAATGTGGTTCAAGTCCTGGACCCAGTGGCTTGAAACTCAGGCTAGGCACATGTACATGCATGCCCAAAATCCCAAGAGGAGAATGGAGAAGAAAGAATTGTGTGGCCCCCCCCCCCCCCAAGAGGTTATTTCTCTTGTTCTGTCTCTGGCTGGCTGGCTGGCAGATGCATGTTTCTAATATAAAAAATCTCTAAAAAATACATATTTATAATATTAATAAAATTAAATAATTCTTTCTTTAAAAGTCATATTGATTAGGTTTATTCCTTCATTTCCAAAAGTATTGGAGTCTCAAATTTTATAAATACTCTATTCTTGGCATTGATTACGTTATATTCACAACTTAGTTTGGTAAAGAGCATACATTTTTACAATATTTAGTCTTTAAGCATTTTTTTTAATAATTACTTATTTAATTTTACTTATTCATTTATTTATTTTAATTTGAGCAGAGAGTGTTTGGGCATACACTCACACACACCTATAGTGAGTTTTAAGCCCCAGGTCCAGTATTCAAACTGTAGTCAGCCATGTGGGAGTGTCCAGCGCCTTAACCACCACGCCACCTGCTGGTCCCAAGCATTTTTGTTTTTTATTTTAGGTTTTTGCTAGAGGCATGTGTGCTCACTAGAGAGAGACAGACAGAGGTAAAGTGAGAAATCACCTCCCAAGGAACATGGCCAGGTCACATTCTCTTCTTCGTTGTCCTGGGATTTGGGCACATAAGAATACACACCCAGCATGAATTTCAAGCTACCAGGTCCAGGCCTTAAACTGCAGTTGGCCATGTGGGAGTCCATCGCCACCTGCTAGCCCCCACATTAATATATTCATTAATGTTCATGTATTTAGCTCTTTTAATGTTACCCTATCTTACCTGGTCCTTGTATTAGTAAGCTACGTATTAGTTTCCTCATGTTGCCCATAAATTGTAATACTGAACATATTGGTAGATGATGTTCTTTTTTTTTTCTTCTTCATTTTTTTCTTCCTTTGAGACTTTGGACATTCACCCAGCATGCATGTTTCTCAAGGTTCTGGGTTCAGGACTTGAACTGCATAATCAGCTATATGGTATCTAGTTTCCTGATCGCCACACCATAGGCACCCCAGAATGTATTTTCTAACCCAAGAGAAAACCCCTGTTTTTCTTCCTTTAATGGCAAATTGCAATAACAGGCATACTTTACCTTATAATTGTGAGCAAGGAAGCTATCTGAAACTTAACCATCTCATCTACTTGAGTATTTATTGTCACCTAGAGTGATTTCCACATGTCTTTAATAGCTAAACTGAGGTACTGTCTTTTTCCCTAGTCCGGTGGGGGAGGTGTGCTTGGGTCAGACATGTGAATTAGTCTAGTAAAGTGGATGAATGAAGGTAATGAAGAATATAAGGGTAAGGGACTTTAGTCAGTTGTTTTACACATCTTCAATTTCAGAAGCCTTTTAATTACCTTTATGTTTTTATTTTTTTAAACATCAAGGTTTTTTTTTTTAAATTTTCGCTGTCTTCTCTTTATTTTTGTGGTGTTCTCTTTTACTTCTAGGACTGAAATTTCTATTGTTCTGTTTATAGTCTACTTTAACCTACTTTTGTTTATACATTTTCAGATTATCTTCGAGTGAGTTTGTGAAATTATTTTAGACAGAGTTTCTATATCTTATCTTTCTCCCTCACCTTTCCAAGTACCTGGCACTCACTACAGGTGTGTGCTGTTGGACCTGGCCTGGAACTTTTTTTTTTTTTTTTTTTTTTAATTTCCATTGGATTTGGGATAGGAGAAGGAAAGGTTATGGATAAGCTTAGCAACTATTTGATTTTTGCTTTGTTTCTTCTGGGCTTGATAAAAACTGTAGCTTTTAAATTTTATTTATTATTAAATTTTGCTGTAGGGCATGTGCACTCACCAGAGAGACAGGTCATGAGGTAGGGCAGAGAGAAAGTGAGCCACTGGGTCTGGGACTCAAACCTCGGTTGCCCATGTGAGAATCCAGAGCCCTAAGCACTATGCCATCTGCTGGCCCCAAACATTTTTACTTCTGTAATTTTCAAGAGGAGTTTGCTAAGAATTTATTTCTTTATTTAGAAGTTTTTGCTTTAGGACACCATGTACCCACCTGGGAGAGACAGACAGTGAGAGGGAAATTGAGAAATCATCCTCCCAAGGAGGCATGGCCACACCGTAGTCTCTTCTCCTGGGATCTTTGGTACACATGCACACACATCCAGTATCAGTTTCAACTGCAGTTGGCTGTATGGGAGTCCAAGGACATAACCATTGTGCCATCTCCCTTAAAGAATTATTTATGAAATTTCATTTATTACTACTATTTTTAAATTTGCTATAGGACATGTATGCTCATCAGAGAAAGACAGAAAGAGACAAGGAGGGGGAAGAGTGAGAAGGCAAGCCATATAATCTGGAACCATAGTTAGCCATGTGGGAATCTGGTGTCTCAACCACTACTCCTTCTGTTGACCTTTATAAGAATGTAATTATTAGTTTTATGCTTTTGTTCTCGTCCCATTGGCTGATACAGTGAGTTTTGTTGGCATCTTAAAGTTGAATTATTTTCCCTAAATGTTGAGGAACAGAAAATACAGTATTTGGCTCAGAGTGGTTAATGAGAAATATTTACATTATATACTTAATGTACCTCACGCGGTATAAGATGATAACGTATGTTATTAATAGGTTGTATGTGGGAACATAATTTTTCTTGATGCTTCCTATTATTGAATGCCATGTCAAAATTTTACATTTTTAATTGGGATGCTTATACGTTCTCCCCTAGAATTTGTTTTTCTTGGATAGAATTGTTCATATTATTATGGTGATGGTTGACTGCATTGACTTCTCACCGTACGATCTTAAATATCAACCCAAAGTTAAATGTAAGTATTTTATTTACCTTTATTTTACTGTTTGTTTTTTGAGAGATTTTTACCATAGAGCATGTGCACTTGTCAGAGAGAGAGAGAGAAACAAAGTGAGAAATTGAACACACACACACACACACACACACACACACACACACACACACACACACACACACACACACACACACACACACACACACACACACATACCCAAGGTAGTGGCCAAACCATAGTCCCGTCTTCTCCATTCTCCTTTTGAAGTTTTGAGCAAGGATGTACATGCACTCAGTGTGAGTTTTGAACCTCTGGGTCCAGGACTCGAACTGTGGTCAGGGAGATCAGCGCCATAACCACTATGCCATTTGCTGACCCTTACCTTTTATTTTTAATGTAATGTTTTATAAGAACTACAGAATGGATATTGGGAAATCCTCATGATGGCTTTTCTACATCACCTTACCAGATTTTGTTCTCATTTAACCATGTCTATTGTTACTGCTGGGAGCTTGCATGACTGTGGTTCTAGAAATGGTCAACTACATGGGAGTCCAGCAACATAACCATTTCACCAACTGCTGGTCTCCTTAGACATTCTTAAAACTTTTTTTTTTTGGAGTCCTGGTTGGGAAATAATCATTGAGTTGATACTAAAATTGAAAAAAAAATTTATAGAGTCAGTTTCTTGGTTATAGTGTCATAAGAAATTTAAAAGTCTAAAAATTCAGTTTTTACCATTTTATTTAAAATTGGACATTTAGATTCATAATATATTGTCTGATTCATGAAATTACTTGCATTGTCTTGTTCTAAATTATTTTGGATGTTGAGGGGCTTGCAAACAAGTGCCCAGTGTGTTTTTCAAGCTGTCCAGTCTGGGATTCAAACTGTGTAGTCAGCCATATTGGATCCAGCCGCCTTAACCACTATGCTACCTACTGACCTCCAGTTCTAAATTATTTTGTAGTAAATACTGAGCTAATTTAACCTGTCAATTTGTTCTGTTAAATATATCCACTTATATCAAAAGGAAATTATTTTTATTACAGGTCAGAGCATCCCAGTCTGAATGCCACAGAAATTGGGTATAGATATATATGTTTGAAATATTGATTATCATCCCCTCTCTTGGGACTATTCAGTATGTAGTCTGGTTATCTCAGAGTGTCAGAAAAATAACATCTCCAAAAACCCACACTATAAAAAGATTATATAATAAACAATATCTGTGGATCAGCAGATGGCATAAGGGTTATGTTGCTGGACCTCCCACATAGTTGAGTGCAGTTCAAGTCTCAGACCCAGTGTCCTAAATCTCATGCTGAGCATGTGTGCACAAAATCCTGAGAAAGAAAGGATTGTGTCTTGGCCATCTCCCCTAGGGGGGTGGTTTCTTGCTCTCTGTCTCTGTTGGTTTGGCAAGGGCATGCACCCTATAGCAATTATCTTGTCTTTGGATAAATAAATAAATAGAAATAAATATTACCTGAAATTATTTTGTTGGCCAATGATATTTATTTATTTATTTATTTATTTATTTATAGTTTATTTTAGGGTAGTTCTGAGGGGGGGGGGTTAGTGATCACCCACTGGGGGGATAGTCACACTGCAGTCCCTTCTCTTCTATTCGCCTCTCAGGATTTTGGGCATGTAAACATGTGGGCCTGAAATGTTTATCAAGCCAAGCCACTGGGTACAGGACTTGTACTGCACAATCCTCCACATAACTGCTGGAACCATTATGCCACTAGCTGGCCCATTACTGACAAATTATAGGGATAAGATGATGAACTTCATGTTGACATAATTTTACCTGTATCATGTATTCTGAAAAATTGGATATAATTGAATATTCATCTTTCCATGACTTAAACCCACAATTACAAATGTCTTTTTTTACTTCATATCTGTGTACAAAAGAGTCAGAGATCTTTTTGCTATCTAAATTAATGGGATTTAGAAGGTTCTGAAATCTGCCAGCAGTAGTTGAGGAGAAGAAACAAAGTGAGGATTAGCTGAAAGGAAATGATTGTTTACAGGGTTGTGTATGAGGATCATGTTGAATTTTTTATGACTGACTTTATAGTAATTTAAAACTGAGAAACATTGCAAGAATTACTGTACACAGAAACCATATCTTTCTTTTTTCTTTTTCTTTTTCTTTTTCTTTTTTTTTTTTTGAGAGGTTTTTGCAATAGGCCGCATGCACTCACCAGAAAGAGACAGAAAGTCTCATCTCGGGATCTTGGGCACACACACACACGTGCCTGGCATGAGTAAGCCACTGGGTCTGGAACTCAAACCGTGGTAAACTTCATGGGAGTCCAGTGACATAGCCATTATACCATCTGCTGGTCCCAAATGAGCATAATTTTTAAGCCAGCCAGGTCCAGAATTCAAACCACACAGTCTACCATGTGGGATCCAACCACCCTACCTCTGTAGATACACTTTCAGTCTAATATCACATGTTTATTCTAGTCCTTCCTCTGGTTCCAGAATTATTATTCTTAATTTGCAAAACAGTTTTTCTTTGATTTTCACTAGTAAAGATAATGTTCTAGTGTTTAAATGTGAAATAAAAATGGTAAAATGTGGACTTTGACTATTTTCAAAGTGCTTGAATTTTAAACCAGTTTAATTTTGTCTTAGCACCACAGAGACCTTCAGATTGGTCCAAAAAGAAGAAGGAGCCCCTTGGAAAATTAGCTTCTTTATTTAAACTTATTGTGAGAGTGATCTATTCTTTCCACACTCTGAGCTTCAAGGAAGTACATTCTGATACTCTCCTCGCTATTGGAAGCTCGATCACCAGTATTCTTTCCACTGTACTTGGACATATTTCTTTGCCTTCTATGACCCGAAAAATATTTGCAACCCTAACAAGACCTCTGGCATTACTTTATGAAAGCTCAAAGTAAGTATTTAGGTTTAATAGCTTCGAATTAAATGCATAGAATATAAATACAGATAAAACATTATTTTCTGTCAACTTTGTTACAGACGGTAATCTTAATTTATTGTAGAGGATAACAGCTTAGTGCTTTTGTAAAAGAATATAGTTAAATAGTGTAGAATAATGGAAATCCTTTCAGTTTGTATATTAATCCCCTTGCTCTTTTCAGTTTAGTGCATGTCCTTTTAGAATTGCCTGTTGGCACATACCTATTTAATGCATGATACCATTGAAAACAAAATTGATGTTATTTTCCAACTAGTGTATTGATATGCATGATATATTAAGTTTTCAGGAAAGTCTTGATAAAATTTTCTTTTTCTATGCAAAGTGTTTCATGACTTTCCCAATGACCCACGTTTTATATTCCTATGAATCTTGCAGCACACATGTAAGAATCTCATTCTTTTAATGTCTGCATAGGATTTTATTAAACTTTATACTTCATGTTTGATTAGATTGGTAGACGTATATTTTTAGAGCTTTTTCTCTCATAACAAAGAGTTGAACATTATTTGTACATAAATTATCTATGTTTCCCAGTATTTCAATTTGTTAATAAGTCTTTGGTTACCTTTTTATATTACCATATGTGTATCTCCCATTTTTAATGGTTATTTTACCTCATTTTTTAGGTTAACTTGATAGTACAGTGTTAATTTCCTAATGGTACTCTGTTTTATGTGTTTTTCTTCCCAGACTTGATGAAATTCCTAAAGTGTATAGTTGTCTGAACAACAAGGTAAAATTAGAAAATTGTCCATAAAATATATCTTCCATAACGGGGAAAAAAATTATAGTTTAGATAATTGCCTTCCTTAAACATAATTCTGATTTTTGTAAAGGAGTTGTTATACTTCATTTTTAATAGATATTTAATACTTGATATGAACACATTCACAGGTAGTGTTTTTACTAAAAGGTTTTAATAATGTCATCTTAAATATTACCTATCAACTGCTTTTTTAAATTATTTAATTTCATTTATTCATTCATTCATTTTAATTTGATGAGAGAGAAAGTGAGAAAGTAAGCTACCGGGTCTGGGACTCTAATCATGGTTGGCCACGTGGGAGTGTCCAGTGCCTTAATCACAATGCCACCTGCTGGCCCCACAGCCTGTCAACTTCTAGAGAGCAGTTGGTGCCAACTCTTTTTTTTCTCCCAAATTTCCCCAAAAGGGGAATTTTATTGATTACTTTATTCCCTCACAAAAAGACTAACTGTAATCAAATGAGGTGAACATTCACCTCAAGATTTTGTTGTCTTCATACTAAAAAAGATGAGACTTAAAACTGGATCACTTGACCCTTTCTCTTCTTATCTCCTCCCAGTTCAAAATGCTTACATCTCTTAATAGCCAGCCTTCTCTTAGATCTGCAGTTGGGTTCAACATATTCAAGCTTCGGCATAATCTTCTTTGTAGTTTTTGCATTTTTCTGGAAAATAGGCTTAGTTTGTCCACCATAGCCGCTCTGCTTCCTGTCATAACACTGCTTTCCCTGAGCACACAGGATCCTTGCCCTTTTTGTACTTTGTCACTTTAAGAGATTGGTGCTTGCCATACTTCTTACAGAAGGTCTGTCAGGTTTTAGGGACATTCACCATGCTTGCAGGCCTGCTATCTGCACAGAAAGCAGTGGCGATGTTTTTAGGTAAATCTTATGTAGGTAATTACTAGTTCCTATAATACTTGGGGTAAAAACATACTTTTTTCTGTTACTGGAAAATAAGCTGAAAACCAAACTGTGGGAACCAGCAGTTAGTATAATGGCTATGTCGCTGGACTCCCACGTAGTCAATCGCGGTTTGCGTCCCGGACACAGTGGCTTAGAACTCATGCTGGGCGCGTGTGCGTACGTGCCCAAGATCCTGAGAGGAGAATGAAGGAGAAGGGATTGCGGCGTGACCATCCCCCCGGGGGCTGATTTCTTGCTTTCTGTCTCTATGTCTTTGTCTGTCTGTCTGGCGAGCACACGCGCCCTATAGCGAAAAACCTCTCCAAAAAAAAAAAATACCAAACTGTGATATCAGTGAACAAAGGAGATTAGCCTGTTAGCTTATGAAAAGGTGGGGGTAGGGGTGGGGTATACATATATTTAAGATGATGATGGTGGTTTGCTTCAGATCAATGCAAATTTTAAAAACTGAAATAGCCTGTTCTGTAAATTGTTATTGAGTATATTTCTTGTCTTTTTTTTTTCCTAGTTAGAAAAGCTACTTGGAGAAATTATTGTTTGTCTACAGTTCACTTATACTGGAACTTATGACAGTGAACTTCTTGAACATCTTGCTCCACTATTGTGCATAATTTTTCTGCACAAGAACAAACACATTAGAAAACAGAGTGCTCAGTTTTGGAATGCCACATTTGCCAAAGTGACGATGTTGGTTTATCCTGAAGAATTAAAGTATGCTAACAACAAAACTTTTCTGTAACTATTCTGCTGTGATAGTATAAATTCATATTTTGGTTTTAACCTGAACTTTTATGGGAAATTTCAGAGGAGTCCTACTTGAAGCATGATTATTTGCAGTACATAATAATTATTAAACATTACTTGACCTTTTTATCATTCCTTACAGCAACCTTGGTTTTAGGAAACCAAAAAAGAGCAATTTAAAATTATCCTTAGTGGGACCAGCAGTTGGAGTAATGGCTATGTTGCTGGACTCCCATGTAGTCCACCGCAATTTGAGTCCCAGACCTGGTGGCTTAAATTCAGCTGGGAACATGTGCCTGCGTGCCCAAGATCCTGAGAGGAGAATGGAGGAGAAGGGATTGCAGCATGACCACCCCCTGGGGGGTGATTTCTCGCTTTTTGTCTCTGTCTCTCTGTCTTCTGTCGAGCGCATGTGCCCTATAGCAAACACCTTTCCCAAAAAAATAAATAAATAATTATCCTTAGTAAAAGAAAAAGTGATGGTTATTAAAGGCAGACATGAATACTTAAGGTAATATCTACTTTGTTCGAGATTTTTTTTTTTTACTATAAATACTTGGCAGTTTTGTGCCCAGCTGCAGTGGTATGCTATGGAGACACTGCTCCTTAGGCTAGGCCTCATGAGAAACCAGATTTAATTCCCAGTCCAACTTTATGATTGAGCATGGTGGCATGCACTTGTAATCCCAGCATCTCTGGGAGGCCAAGGCAGGAGGATCGCAACCTTGGGGCTGATCTCGACAACATAATGACACCCTGTCCTGAGAAATGAGAGGCTAGCTAATGCATGCCTGAGAGGATCGTGATATGGCAAAAACTTGTCTAAAATAAAATTTCGGAAAATTTGAAAAGTTTTTCAAAGCTAAAATTTGGAAATTCTCTAAAGTCTTAAAAATTCAAATGTTACCTATTTCCTTTTCGTTTTATATATGCACAGTAAGGAAAAGTTTTAACGCAGCTGTCATTTACTGTTTTACAATTACAATTAAATATATTGTTATATTTCCATGCTCATTGTTATTACTTGACTCAAGATGTATGTATATTTGTACTTTTTCAAAGGCCAATACTAAAACAAGCCAAACAAAAATATTTGCTTCTGTTGCCTGGTTTGGAAAATGTTGAAATGATGGAGGAATCCAGTGAACCATACTCAGATGCAGTAAGTTATTGGGATTTTGCTTGCTTGTTTTGTGTTTTAAACTTTCAAATGGTGTGTTGATAGTTTATTAAATGTTAAGTTATAAACAAGTTGAACCTGGACAGAAAAGAATTTCATAACAGGATTTTTTTTTTCTTGGACTCAGTTTTTTGATCTGAAGTACTTCTTTAAGTTAAAGAGTAAAAGTTTTCAATAGAGACTCTCGTGTAAATAATCTCTAATCTCTAATCAGCAGTTAGCGTAATGGCTATGTCACTGGACTCCCACGTAGTCAACCGTGGTTTGCGTCCCGGACACGGTGGCTTAAAACTCAAGCCGGGCGCGTGTGCATGTGTGCCCAAGATCCCAAGAGGTGAATGGAGGAGAAGGGATTGCGGCGTGACCATCCCCCCTGGGGGTGGGGGTGATTTCTCGCTTTCTGTCTTTATGTCTCTGTCTAGCGAGTGCACGTGCCCTGTGGTGAAAACCTCTCCAAAAAAAAAAAATCTCTAATTCTTGCTTACTAGGGTTCTTTTTAAATTCATTTACCTCATGTATGCTATTGTACAAAGATTGTCATTATTATAATACATGGGTAAGTTTTGCTTTGGAAAAATAAAAGTTACTGGTCTCCATCTAAGAAAGAGGTATCCTGCATTTTCTTATTTCTTTCCATCAAGTTTTTTATTCCTGATTAAGAATTCTTCTGTTCTTAGAGTAGATACCACTGAGTGGGATTGCTGGATCATATGATAGTTCTATTTGTAGATATTGGAGGAATCTCCAAATTGTTCTCCATAGTGGCTGGACCCAATTACATTCCTACCAGCAGTAGAAGAGAGTTCCCCTTTCACCATACCCCCTCCAGTACTTACTATTTTTTTTTTTTATCTTATTTATTCTGACTGGGGATAGGTAGTATCTCATTCTTGTTTTGATCTGGATTTCCCTTACAATGAAGGATCTTGAGCATTTTTTCATATGCCTTTTGGTTATTCATATGTCATCCTTAGAGAGTAGTTTATTGAAGTCATTCTTCCACTTTTTAATAGTGTCGATCATCTTTTTTCGGAACAGTTGCTTGAGTTCCTTGTGGATTCTGGTTATCAGCTCCTTATCTGATGCATAGTTTACAAAAATATTTTCCGATTCTGAGGGCTGTCATTCACACTAAATACTGTGTCTTTTGCCATACAAAAACTTCTTAGTCTGATGTAATCCCATTTGCCTATTTTGGGGGATTATCGACTGCTTTGGGGGTCTTATTTAAGAAGTCTCTGCCTACCTCAATGTCTCCCAAAGTTTCCCCAGTGTTTTCCAGGAGCAGTTTTATAGTTTGAGGTCTTAGATTTAGATCCTTGATTCTCCTTCAGTTGATTTTTGTCAATGGTGACAGGTAAGGGTTCAGATTCATCTTTCTGCAAGTAGATACCCAGTTTTTCCTAAACCATTTGCAGAAGAGGTTTTCCTTTTCCCACTGGATTGACTGGTACCCTTTGTCAAAAGTCATTTGACTGTATGTTTGGGAATTTATTTCTGGGGTCTCTATTCTGTTCCATTGATTCACATGTCTGTTTCTGTGCCAGTAACATGCTGTTTCAATTACCACAGCTTTGTAGTGTATACTTTTGGGTCTAGGAGTGAGATGCCGCCCATTCCACTCTTATGCAGGATTGCTTTGACAATACAAAGTCTTTTATGATTCCAGACAAATTTTATGATGATCTTTTCTAGATCTGTGAAGAATGTGTCTGGTACTTTGATTGAGATTGCATTAGTATTTAGATTAATTTAATTTGGGTAGAATTGCCATTTTTTAAAATTTTGTTTATTATTATAATTTTTCAATTTTGACTGGAGAGACAGAGAGAATGAGAAAGCAAGCCACCAGGTTTGGGACTTGAACCACGGTCAGCCATGTAGGAGTCCAGCACCTTAACCACCATGACACCTGCTGCCCCCTAATCCCCTAGAATTGCCATTTTGATGATATTAATTCTTCCATTCCATGAACATGGGATGTCCTTCCACGTTTTTGTGTCATTTTCAATTTCTTTTTTTAGCTTCTCGTAATTTTCCTTGTGGAGGTCTTTAACTTCTTTGGTTAGATTTATTTCTTTCTGTTTTGTACTATTTGTGACTATAGTAAATGGAGTTAGTTTTTTCAGTTCCATCTCAGTGTGCCTGCTGTTCATTTATAGAAATGCTATAGATTTCTTTATGTTGATTTTGTATCCTGCAACTTTACTGTATTCATGTATTACTTCCAGGAATTTTTTCATGGATACCATTGGGTCTTCTATGTATACAATCATGTCATCTGCAAATAGAGAAAGTTTCACCTCTTCTTTTTCTATTTGAATGCCTTTTTTTTCATCTTTTTTGATTGCGTTGGCAAGGACTTCGAGTACTATATTGAAAAGGAGTGAAGAAAGTGGACATCCTGTCTTGTATCAGTTTTTAGTGTTAAAGCTTTTAGCTTTTCTCCATTCAGGATGATGCTCACTATGGGTTTTTCATAGATAGCTTTTATTGTGTTGAGAAATGACCCTTTTATGCTGATGTTGCTAAGAGTCTTGATCATGAAAGTATGTTTTATTTTATCAAATTCTTTTTCTTCATCAACTGATATGATCATATGGTTTTTATCTTTTTTCCTGTTAACATGGTGTATTACATTTATGGGTTTGGGTATGTTGAACCAGCCTTGCATTCTTGGAATAAAGCCTACCTGATGATGATGTATAATCTTTTTCTTAAGTTGTTGGATACAATTTCCTAGTATCTTGTTGAGAATCTTTGTGTCTATATTCATCAGAGGTATTGGTCTATAGTTTTCCTTCCTTGTCCTGTCCTTATCTGTTTTAAGGATAAGGGTGATGGAGACTTCATAGAATGAATTAGGGAGATCCACCCTTTTGGATCTTTAGAAATAACTTGAGCAGTATGAGGGTAACTCTGAAAGTTTTGTAGAATTCAGAGGTGAAGCCATCAGGACCAGGACTTTTTTTTGTTGGGAGGTTATTTATTACTGATTCAATCTCCTGGCTTATTACGGGCCCATTCAGACTTTCTATATCCTCTTGGCTCAATCTTGGTAGATTATATGTGTCCAGGAATGATTGTCTTGCTTCTTAGCATATAGTTGTTCATAGTATCCTTTAATGATGTTTTGTATTTCTACTATGTCTGTTGTTATATTGCCTGCTTCATTGCAGATTTGATTCACCTGGTTCCTTTCTCTCTTCATCTTAATAAGTCTTGCTATGGTGTATCAATTTTATTTTTTTTTTTAAAGAACCAGCTTTTACTTTCATTTATTTTTTGTATAGTTTATTTTCTATTTCATTTATTTCTGCTTACATCTTTATTATTTCCTTTCTCCTGGAGTTTTATTTATTTTTTTTTTTCTGTTGCTTTTCCAGTTCTCTGAGGCATGATGTTAGGTAGTCCATTTGCCTTCTTTCCTTCTTCCTCTTATGTGCACTAATTGCTGTGAACTTCCCTCTTATGCCTCCTTTTGCAGTATCCCAAAGATTATGGAAACTCCTGTCCTCGTCATTGGCTTCCATGAATCTTGTTATTTCAGTCTTTATTTCTTTAGTAGTTGCAAATTCATTCAAGATAGGTTATTTAGTTTCCATGTATTTGAGTATTTTTGAGGATTTCTTTTGAAATTAAGTTCGAGTTTAATTCCATCAGTTCGGAGAAGATGATGTGCATAGTTTCTCTTTCTAAAAATTATTTAATTTATTTCACAGTTAAAGGATAAATTTGTTTTGGTACAAAAAACTTTGAAATTCATACATAGTTTTCCCATTACATGTATTTTGATGAGCTTTTTTTCCTTCTGAAACATTTTTTTAAATTAATTTACATTCAATCCCTAAGAATCATCATAGTATACAAAATGTGATTTCCCATCCTGAATATACTGCATAGTGGCTTAATCATGCATGTTATCATCAATAATTTTCCATTTCAAGTTTCATATATATGTTTTACCCCTATTTCTGACCCTCTGCCCTTCCCCACCCTCCTCCCACGCTATCTCTGGTGTCTGCAGTTGTTTCCTTTTCCTCCCACATTTTATTGATCACACAATTTTTTATATAATCTAACTGCTTTCAATTGCATGTATAACTGGTAATTTCAAGAAAAATAGTTTTAACTTTAATAAATCACAGAAATGCTAAGGACTTTGCTTAAAACTTAAAGCCATGAAACAGGTTAGGATTCTGTTCAAATAGTAGTCACTGGAATCTATCGACAGTGCAAGACAGGACAAAAATCCTTAAAATCAGAAAACAAAGCCTAGAAGAAAATCAGCAATGTTTTAGTCAAAAGTCACAGAATGCTATTTCACCAGTTCAGTCTCATGTACTTAAACTTTTGTTGTGGTTTGATCTTACCCATTAAATTCTGGGATATAATATTCAATTTCAGATTTATCCCTATGATTAAGTTGGCCATTTTCTTAGATTTTGAATTCTTATTTCTGTGTGTCTGTATTTTATTTTCCTGGTATAGCACTCTCTTGAGAACTTCTTGGAGATCTGGTCTGGCGTTGGTAAATTCTTTCAGGTTTGGTTTACCTCAGAATATTCCTGTCTTTTTTTTTTCCATATGTAGGATAAACTTGCCGGGTACAATATTCTTTATTGAAAATGCTTTTCCCTTAACACTTTGAATATATTTTCCCATTCTTTCCTTGTTCGTATTGTTTCCCGTGAGAGATCCACTGTTAGCCTGATGGGATATCCTTTGTAGGTAACTTGTCGTTTCTCTTTCCCCAATCTTATTATCTTTTGTTTGTCTGTGGCTTTGGTCATTCTGGCTATCATGTGTTTTGGAGAAGATCTTCTTGAGTTGATTGTATTTGGGGAATCCTTTGTATTTCTTAGGACTAGATCTTTGAATGCCTTCTCTAGGTGTTTTTTTTTTTTTTTTTTTTTTTTTTTTTTTTTTTTTTTTTTTTTTGAGAGGTTTTTGCTATAGGGCGTGTGTGCTCGCCAGACATA